GGGGGCGCGGGGCGCTCGCTCCCTCGCTGCCTCCACCCCACCCGCTAAGTGGACCTGCGTCCCGGCTTGATGGGGTCCGTGTGGGGTAGTCGGTCTCTTCTGCTCCGGCCCTGGTCCTCAAGCACTAGACTGGTGTTTCTTGTCTTGAAGGTGGAGCAGTAAATATCCGGAGTTTAGGTCGCGTCTAGCCTAGACCCCTTTAAAAGACGGGGCGCTCGCTCCCTCGCTGCCTCCACCCCACCCGCTAAGTGGACCTGCGTCCCGGCTTGATGGGGTCCGTGTGGGGTAGTCGGTCTCTTCTGCTCCGGCCCTGGTCCTCAAGCACTAGACTGGTGTTTCTTGTCTTGAAGGTGGAGCAGTAAATATCCGGAGTTTAGGTCGCGTCTAGCCTAGACCCCTTTAAAAGATGGGAGCCCTGGTCCAGTACCTTTTTCTCCTTTAGAGGAAGAGTATTCCAAGCGGCAGCTGCGGGGTGTTTAAGAAAAAGGGGCCTCTGTGAAAGGAACAGAGGGACCCGTGTGAAAGTCTGAACAAGGCAGCCTCAGTTCTTGAGGCTGTGTCACAATTGTGGGGTTTCCAGCTGCTGGAAAAGCAGACTTCTTTTGAGTGTGGGATTGCTGGTTCCCAGGAAAACTGGGTGACAGATTTAGTTTCAGCAGCTAAATTCCAACTATACTGAGAAATATAGAAATATATTTCTATTCACTTCTCTAAGTCAATTTTACCAAAAGATAGGTCTCCATCTGTTTTTCACAAAATGTCTAGAGTCTCTAAAGGAAATTTCAAAGCTTTATAAAGTTAAGGATTTGTTAAAGAAAACTGTTTCTGTATTTCTGAATTGTAGTCCTAACCAGTGATCCAGGCAACATTTCTCACTAGGTAAGTGTAGTACGGCAAATCGTTTCAAATAACAGCTCTGGCATCTAAGCAGACCTGGGTTTGAGTTTCAGCTGAGCCACTTAAAAGCTGATTGATCTTGACAAGTTAAATGTCCTCTTTAGCCTTAGTTGCTTCACCTATAAAACAGAGAAAATAAGTCCTCTTCTAATGGGAGCTGTTACAATGCTTTAGTGTTTAACATGGGTCTGATACAGAAACTGGTCAATACACAGTGCCTATTATTGTTATTAAGAGCCACCTTTAATATCATGTTCTTATACATAACTAAATTACATGGCTATACTGTTTCAGAGGTAGGTATCATAATTCTTTCTTACTCATAAATTCTCTGTGGCTATTGATATTATAAAAGCCACAAAGGAAGTACAATGTATCATATTTGGCATGTCCAAAATAAATCATTATTTCCTTCCTGCAAACTTTCTGTTATAGACAGTGACTATTTCTAATATTAGTTACCTCCATCTTCCTAATCACTCAGCTTGAATTATCTTTCAAATTAACTTGAAAACAGCATAAATCAGATTGTTATTCTCCTACTGGAAAATCTTTAGTGACTTCCTAATTGATTTAAAATAAAATTCAAACTTTTTCCATCGTTCACAAACCCTGAAGCCATCTTGCCCTGTCCACCTTTTCATTTTCTTTTAAAACTTTTGATTAGTGCATGTGAGCAGTGCATAATGATTATATTCATTTTGAGGAGTTAGTACACACACACCTTTCAATTTCCTATTTCCCTTTCCTGGCCCATTTTCTTCTAACTGTATAGAACATTGATTGCTCCCACCCTGGAATGGCCCAAACCTTTGGGTTCTCTCAGGGCCTCCGCCCCGGCAGTTCCCTCTGCCTACTTTTTCCCCAGCCTGTTAAAAGACTGGCTGCTTTTCATTCCTGAGCTTTCAGCTTATTCATTACACTATTCAGCAAGTGTTTATGGAGTTTCTGTGGTGTGTCAGGAGCTGTGTAGGTACCAAAAATACAGTCGTGAGCAAAAGAGAACATAGCCCTTGCTGTCATGGAGCTCAGTAAAAATATATAAGGAAAATATCAGGCTGTAATAGCTGAAAGAAGGGGGAAAGTACATTAGTGAAAGGCTACTGGAGCTTTAGGTCAAGACCTCTGTGAGAAAATGGTACTCAGACTGAGACTTGAATTACAGGAGGGAGCAGGCCTTTAAGAAAAGTTCAAGGAAGAGCACTTCTGGCAAAGGGAACAGCTAATGAAATGCCTTTGAGAACAGGCTTCGTGGGTTTGAGAAGCTGGGAGAAGTCCATGGTAGCAGAAATGAGAAGAGAACATGCAAAACGTCATGCAGGTCCTTGTAAGCCTGGGCAATATGTTTGGACTTTATTTTCTAAATGTTAAAACAAGCCAATGGAAGGTTTCATACATGGGAAAAAAACTCGTCTGACGTATTTTTGAAAGAGTGCTTTGAAACAAATCTGGGATTTGAGATAATTTCGCAAGACAACTGGCTCAGGCTCTTCATATAAATTCGTATGATAAAAAAACTAAAAAGGGACATAAATCTCAATGGAGTCCTGAGGTGGGAGGAGGGAGAGAAAGAAACAAACTATAAAATAAATACATTTTAGGGACAATTGGGGAAATTTTATAGACTATATTAGATGGTATAATGAATTACTGTACTGTTAGTTGCCTGAGGTATGACATAGAATTATAGAGTTATAAGAGAATTTATTTGTATATGGTTTTTTAGGAGATACAAGCTGAAACATTCAAAGGTAAAGAATCATGACCTCTTTAATTTATGTTCACATGATTCAGCAAAGACAGAATGAGAAATACAAACCTGATTTTAACAGCTGGATCTAGATGAAGACATGAGATTTTTTTACATAGAGTTCTTGTATTATATTTTTCTGGAAATTTTGAATTTTTCAGAAGAAAAAACTGGAAAGAAAAAATCATTCTTAAAAACTTCCATTTCTGATATGAAGTAATACCTTGTCCTACTCCCCACTGAAGATAACTTAAAATGCTTTATAAATATAAAAAATACAGAAAATAAAGAGACAAGCAAAGACTTGAAGCCAAACCTCATCTTGACTAAACCAGATGAACTTGGGCTTTCACTGTCAGGGCTTGGAAGGGAATGGAAAGAAGGGACAAGGGCCAGGTTCCACTGACATGAGAAATCTAAAAGAACAGCCCGCACACAATGCCAGGATCTTCCAAAGGCCCCTCCCGTCTTGTTCCAGAGACTGCCAAAGAAACTTGCCTGTAATCAGCCTTACTGTAGAATGGAGGGAGAAATGTGTCCTCTGAGCACCATCTTTTAAAACAGAAGATCAGAAGCTATAATCTGCTCTCCCTAGGTTGTCGAAAAAACTAGACCAGATAATTTAACCCAATTTTGGGTCAGTGTCCCCAGCTGGCAGAGGTGAAGTATCACCTTTAGAGATATTTAACTAGACAAAACATTTTAGAGAAAAATTTCCAAGACATCTGAACTTACAATAAAATCACAATTCATGCAAAGAAACAAGATGTTACATAAGAATCATCAGGGACAAAAACTAACACCATAGAATAAGACTGCTGAAAACTTGAAACTATTACCAGAAATTATAAAAATAAGTATGCTTAATATATTTAAAGAAATAAAAGATTGAGGAGCTGGGGATTCAGCTTAGTAGTGCCACTGCCTGCTTCACAAGTGCAAGGACCTGAGTTCGATCCCTGGTACCGAAAAAAATAAATAAAAATAAATAAAGGATTGAGAATACAAGCAAAGAACAAAGAAAAAAATTATTTTTTTTTTTTTTTGATACAGGGATCGAACTCGGGTCCTTGCACTTGCGATTAAGGTGCCAGAACCACTGAGCTAAATCCCCAGCCCCAAAAAATTTTTTTTGAAAGAAAGAACCAGGCATGTTTTTTAAACTTTCCAAAACTTCTAGAGTTAAAACTAGTAATTATCGGGGGTCCACCTATATATAGGGAAGAGGGAAAGATTGAGATGTTATATACAAGTATTAAAGCCTTGCAATACATGTAATCATTATGTACTGCAAACATGCTAATAAAATTTTAAAATCAAAGAAAGGGAGAGGACAGTAGTAAGAAGTTTTAATTGCATCTTCCTGGAGAGTTATTTCACTTGACCTTAGCCAAAAAGCCAAGAAGCAATGGAGGAGTAATTTGAACAAAAGTTGAGAGTAGGAGGACATGGGAGATCAGAGGTTCATATCATATTCTCAAGCATGTGAATCCAAACACTGGCAAACAATTCAGACTGTGGATCACTGTCACGCGCTTGGAAGATGGTTTATTCTTAACAACACCTTATCCTTATTCTAGCCTTCCTTTTTTTTGGCACAGGGGGTTGAACTCAGGACCTTGAGCCTACGAGGCAGGTGGTGGCACCACTGAGCTAAATTCCCGGCCCCTGGCCTTTCTTGTTCTACCTAAAAATAAAATAACATTTTATCTGTCAAAGAAAAATTCAGTGATGATAAAATGAGAAGGAGAAAAGAAAAATGCTTTGAGACTTTAGAAAGAACAAATTATATAGGCCTAATATGTAATGATTTGTACTAAGGGAGACATACTCTCTTTATATAACCTGCTCTGGTTGTGCAAGTTTCATTCAGATCCATCAGCTTGATGGTCTCTTGTAAGGAGGAGGAGTCAGGGCTTTGTTCTCACCCTGTGATTCCTCTGAAAGTGGCTTTTCTGTCCTAATCTAAGAAATCAGTTTGATTCCCTGTCTTTTCCCACAGCCTTGCATCTCCCCTGGGGCAGCTTACTATATGGTCAGAATATGAAACAGGCTTACACTTTGACAGCGACAGAGCCAAAGCTTTTTGTGTTATCATTTGTGCAGTCCATGGGGAAATACTGGAATGGGGATTGATCTTGGCAAAGAGATAATCCACAGAGATGGTTGAGTTTAATAAATCACTGCTATAAAAGACTCCTATTTAAGGCCTATCAAGTCTCAGAGTTCATTCTGCTGAGACTATCTAATCTCTTGCCCTCCCCCAGCCACAAATTAAATTCCTCTGGAGTCTGTTCTGATTGAAATATAAGATGGCCTTCCATCAGCCCATTCCCTGTTTTTTGTTTTTGGTTTTTGGTACCAGGGATCAAACTCAGGACCTTGCACTTGCGAGGTAGTCTAAATCCCTGGCCCAGCCCACTCCCTGTATTATAGAAAGCTGAATTCTTTCAGCTAATTGCTCTGATATGTGTTCCCAAGACCATCTTGGGTGAAGGTACCTTTTGAAGGATCATGGAAGTTCTATTTTCATATCTGCTATGAATAATAACTATGTAGTCCAGGCTGTCCTTAAATTGAGCCCTGGCTGGCCTCAAACTCACGATCCTCCTGCCCTAGCCTCCTGAGTGTTGGGATCATGCCCAGCTTTTGGATATCCAGGCATCAAGGCAAATTTGAATAACCAAGCAGGTGACATCTATTGCTTTCCTCCCCAACAAAGTCTGTGGAGAACAACACTACTCTCTTGACTGAAAGAAAGTTAGAAGATTGAATGAGAATGTGAACTTGGTAGCTGTACCTTTTAGAAAACGGAGAAATGAAGGATTTTCAAAAGAATACCCAAGAAAAGAGGCATGAGAAAGGCTACCCAAAAATGTAGGGCAAGTAGCCTGATGATGGTTTCATTTGAAATCTAGATTAAATCAATAAAAAAGTAGGTAAATTGGTGCTCAATGTATGCCAGACAGTGTGAGAAGCCAAAAGCGTAAATAAGAGTCAAAATGTATAACAGATGCTGTGAAGTAGGAAGAAAATGGGAAGGGGAACAGGGGGAGGGAAGGGACAAGGAAGGAAGGGAAAAGAAAAAAGAATAGAAGGAAAAAAAGTGGATACAAAGCTTTTGTAAATGAGAAGAGGGGTTGAAGAGAGGGGAGGGAATTGGGGGAAGAAGAAGAATCAAGGTCTGTCACCTACAGGTTCAAATTCCCTATGATGAACGTGATCATTATGTATATCTAAGATGTACCAGTGAAGGGCCAGGGATTTAGCTCAGTGGTGCCAAGCCTGCCTTGCAAGCACAAGGTCCTGAGTTCAATCCCTGGTACAAAACAAAACAAAAACCTTAAAATGTACCAATGAAATTAATTTAAAAAATGAATTGGGCCAGGGATTTAGCTCAGTGGCAACATGCCTGCCTTGCAAGCACAAGGTCTTGAGTTCGATCCCTGGTCCTGCAAAACGAAAAACAAAAACAAACAAATATATGCCAGATACTCTTCTAAGCACTTTACATGTTTGAAGATTATACCTGGACACGCTGACTGATGTAAGGGCTAAATGAATAAAGTGCCTGACAAGGCCTCATATACAGTAAATGCTAAATAACTTTTGCTTTTACTTTTTAAAAAAAACAATGATTGGATTCTCACATTAGAAGGACTCATTTTGCATTATCTTAGACTGGCTCCCCTGGAAGCAGAGCCCTATGATTTATTGAGGGGAGGCTCCTTAGGAGGAACAAGGGAGGCAGTAAAACAGGACAGGGAACAGGAAAGAGTCAAGGGGGAATGGACCACAGGAAATCCTAACTTGGTCTGATTCCTTGAGGAGGGCTCTCAGATCTGGAGTATAAGCCACAAAACAGAATCAGCCTCCACTTTGTGCAAGGGTATTGACCTTTGTACCCTTGTAATTTCACAGATGTGGCAGTTCTCTCTACAGATGTGTAGGCTCTTCAAAGAGGCAGGCACAGAGAAACTCTAGAAGCCAACCTCACGATAACTGAAACATGGGCTTTATGGCCGGTAAAAGACATCTAAATAAGGTGTGTGAATGGCATTTACCACGGCTAGGAAATGACAGCCAGTCTGTCTCATGGATAAGCTCTTGGACTCTATGCTGCCTCTTTTAAATTCAAAAGGAAAATAATGGATGGAGACATATGGGACTGGTAAAGGGTTCAAACTCATTTCCTAGTATTTAAAGAGTTCTTAGAAAATGAAACGACCCAAGGGTGGGGGGGCAACAATGCAATAGAAAGATAACGGAAAAGGACCCACCCTATAACAATGGGTGTTTAAGTGGCCACAGTGAGCTCATATATGAAGTTGATCTTCACTAGTATTTGAATAAGGCAAACTAAAATCATGGGCAGACCTGGAGTCCGCTTGTCAGCCAAAGCAGTCAAGGACTCTTCATTCACAGGGCACTATGTGGAAAAGAAGTTACAAGTAAGTTGTCCATTGACATTTCTTTACCGTACTACCTTACCGTTCAGAAGGTCACTTAGCAGGGTGGGAAGGAACTTAGCTGTGTAGAGAGGAAGTACACGTCTCTTTATGACTACTCCAGCAGCTTTTCAGGTGACCCACTTCTAAGAGTCAGTTTGCGTTTAGGATAGCACGCTTACTCAGACTTCTCTGAAGATAATGCCTCTGCTTTATGATGCTATTATCAGTCTTAATTAGAGGATTGCACATGTGCCCGGAGGTTTCCTTGGAGAGACAAATCATACGAATCTAAATGATCACATGGTTCTCTTTCAACCTTAATGGCTAAACTCTACTTCAAATAATCACTGACCCTCTCCACTGTTTTTTGTTTGTTTGTTTGTTTGTTTGTTTTGGTACCAGGGATTGAACTCAAGACCTTGTGATTGGAGGCAGGTGCAGTGCCACTGCTCTAAATTCCCAGCCCTAAGCCACTGTTTTTTGAATCAGTATGAACTTAGTCCCAAGTTTTCGATATAAAAAACTAGGTAACCTTTTAAAAGTACCTCTGGTCCCAGTTCGGTTAAATTCCTCCCAAGAAACAAGGTATAGTCTTTCTACAGATACGATAGGCCTTCTCCTGTGTATCTGTGAGGTTTATATCTGCAGATTCAAGCAACTGAATATTGCTAGGGGTAGGGATTGGTGGTAAAGTGCTTGTCTGGCATGTGTGAAGCCCTGGATTTGATCTTCAGAGTGGCAAAAAAAAAGAAAACAAGAAGTGTTTCAGGGAAATAAAGAAAAACATGACCCACACGTATCAGACACTGAGCAAGTCACTTTCTATGTTTATTTCATGTAATCCTCACATCACCTTTTATCCCCAGATTGTGGATGAGATGAGAAAGCAGAGATTCAGGTCACTTAAATAATTTATCCAAGGTCATCAATTAATAAGAAGCAGAGCCAGGGCGCATACCTGTCATTTCAGCTGTTTCAGCTACTCAGGAGGCAAAGGCAGGAGGAGCACAGGTTGAAAGCCAGCCTGACAAGGAGACCTTGTCTCAAAAAATGAAAAATAGGGCTGGGGATTTAGCTCAGTGGTGCCACTGGCTGCCTTGAAAGTGCAAGGTCCCTAGTTTGATCCCCGGTACCAAAATATATATGTAAAAAATAAAAAATAAAAGTGGGTGTAGATGTAGGTCAGTGATAAAGTGTGCCCCTGAGTTCAATCCTCCTTACCAATAAATAAGTAAATAAATAAACAAATAAGTGGGACTGGGGATTTAGCTCGGCGGTTAGGTGGCCTGCCTTTCAAGCGCAAGGACCCAAGTTCGACTCCCGGTACCAAAACAACAAAAACAAGTAACAGAGCTAAGAATCTCGCTCAGTTTTTTTTTAACTTGTGTGTCTTCCTCCTTCTGTTCTTTCGTCTTGTCGTACCTGCCTTCCCCTCTCTCACTCTCTGCCCTCTTTCCTTCCACCAGTACTTATGATCGTAATAAATGCTGCCGAAGAGACAGAGTGTTCAGAGGACTTACACTAGAGACACTGCTCGAGAAGAAGAGATGAGGATGGTTCTGGAGGAGGTGAGAGCCGAGGGCTGAGGAAGAAATGACCAGGGGAAAGGGTGTGTGTGGGCACAAGGAAGGTGGAGCTCAGACTTCAGGCCTTGTGAGCAGCATGAAGGGAAGGTCCCAGAGTGAGCAGGAGCTGGTATATTTGAGTAAGAACAGAGAACCAGAGGGTGGTCAGGGCCAAAGAGCGTGGACACTTGAAGGTGAATGCTAAGGGTTTGGATTCTGGTCCTCGTTGCTGACCATAGCTTGCAGTCACCGGGAGCACCAAAAGACCATTTATAATTATCCCAGAAAAAAAATTGTTTTATCTTTAGAGTTTTTTAACAAGGGGCTCATTGGCATTGTGGATGGGATCGTTCCTCCTTGTCCCGGGCTCTTCTGTACAAACCTGTGGTGCTAAATGTCAGCTGCAAGTCTCCTCCATAACCAGGAGCCCCTGGGTGGTCCTGCACTCCTCCTGAGAATCAGCTGCTCTCATTCGGGGTGCAGGAGTCTCAATGCCAACAGCCTGATGACCAGCTTCATCTCTTCATCTAGTGACATCTGAACTCCTTTTAGTGGATCTCCTTCCCTGCAGACACCCCGATGGCTCCAGCGTGGATCTCTGCGATCCACAGAGAACATTTCCAGTTCCAAGAAGGAAATATTGAAGCCTCACTATCCCAGACAGTGAGTGGGATGGACAGGAAAGAGTTGGATACAAGATGGTGGGAGAGAGTGTGTCTGAGGAAGCTGGGGCAGGGGATGGAGGAAGCGAAGGAGGAAGTGCTTGGCGTTTGTGGCCAAAGAGCCCGGGGAGGGAGGACGTTCCAGGCAGATGGTAGCAGCACACTCAAAGACAGGAGGACACAAGACACCAGTGGTGGTGTGAGGGAACCTATAGGCGGCTTGGGATTGTTGAAACATGAATGTCAAGGTGGGGCGTGGAGGGAAGGCAGGTTGATGAGGTGGACCTCGTGACCATGCTAGGAAACTCCGACAGTATGTGCAATAAACTCCCAAATGTGCTACCTAGGAATCTTCACTCATTTTGAAAGGGTAGCGTGTGAATGAGGTATTTGAACATTTTCTGAAGAGTTTTAGAGATATGGTTGCGTTGGGGGGATACCTTGTCTCTCAAACTTCATTTTCAGAGTTCATGCATTCTTTGAAGGATTTAAAAGTTTTATAATTTTAACAGCTTTCTGGAATTATACCTGATATATAGTCAGATGAGATCTGGCACATTCAGGGTGGTATGGCCATAGACTCCAAAATATAATCAACAACACACATTTAAAGGCACAGTGTGAGAAGTTCTGATAAGTCCTAACATACATACACACTTGCAAAACCATCACAGCAATCAACACACGTGTCACCTCCCAAAATTTCCTTGTGCCCACTGGTATCTTCACCTTCCCTTCCCAAATCTCCACTCCAATCCCACTTGTATATCTCCTGCCGAATCTACTAAATTCCATTTTCTGACATTTTATAGTATTTGTGTGAGAGAAAACTAAAAAATTAAAAAGCAATTCAAATAACATAATCATTTTGAGATTCACCCATGCAATTGTGTGTATCCATAGTTTAAAATATTCTCAAGCTTCTGCCTTGGAGGTACGCCCTCCCACAGTGTATCCCAATATATTACAACGGGCTGGGGATTTAACTCAGTTGTTCCACCTCCTGCCTCGAAAGCACAAGGACCCCAGTTCAGTCCCGGTACCAACAAGACAAAACAAAACAATAAATTACAATGGTCCGTGGGATGACAAAGTTCCACATTTCCATAGGAGACGTTTTGGGGATACAGGCGCCCCTGGAGATGCAAAAGATTCTGCCTAGGTATGAAAAGAAAAGGCACAGATCCTAGCTTCCTAAGAAGTCTCCAAAACATAAAAGTACCATGGTAAGCAAAATATTGCCCCATAGTCATCTATCCCTACTCCCAGGAAGCATTCTATAAATGTTGACTACAAAATATGTTGAAGAAGTAGAAAGGACACTCTATTACATGTCATAAGAGATTTTGCAGATGGGATTAAGGATCTCAGGAAGGGGAAACAATTGTCTTGGATTATCAGGGCAGGCCCAGTGGGATCACAAGGGTCCCTACAAGTGAAGAGGGGAGGCAGGAATGTCAGAGGCAGACACGGGGAGTGCTGTGACGTTTCCTTTGAATATGGAGGAAGGGGGAAAGTGGAGTCTCTAGAAGTGCGGAAAGTCAGGGGAGTGGATTTCTCCTATCGCATGCAGAAGGAATGCAGCATGGAATGGTGACAAATTTGTATAGTTTTTTTTGCCACTAAATTTGTTATGATTTTGTTGGATAAAAGTTATGGGAGTGGCTGTACATGATGGTGCATGCTTATAATCCCAGCGTTGTGACTGCCTGAAGCAGGAGGATTCAAGTTTGGGCTGAGCCTGGGCAATTTAGCAACTTAGAAAAAGACTCTCTCAAAATTTAGAAAATAAAACAAAGGGCTGGGCAAGTAGATCAGTGCTAATGTCCTGGGTTCAATCTCTAGTAACACACACGATCTCTAGTAACACACACACACATACACACACATACAATCTCTAATAACACACACACACACACACACACAATCATTTATGGGAGGCTATTACTTTGTACTGAGCTCCTGCACCAGGTCTCAGCAGACCACACCAAAGCAAGATGGAGTCACTTACACTAGGTGCCATGCAATCTGAGGGAACTTAGGAACAAAATTCACAAATTGCTAATAAAATATCCAAACTCAATTTGTTGAAATTTTGTTAATTTGTTACAGCAGCAATAGGAAACTAATACAATAACTATACACAAGCGCACACACAATATATATGATATATAACACACACACTCACATATACATATGACTCTGATGAGTCTGATTTCTTCTATTTCTTCCTCCTCCTTGTGACACATGGTCTAACAGAAGTGGAAGCCAAATGGCTTTGGAATCAGACTGACCTAACCTGGGCCTGATCCCCAGAACTCATTTCTCATCCTAAAGAATGATATTTATGGGCCGGGGATTTAGCTCCATGGTTCCAGGGTTGCCTTGCAAGCACAAGGACCTGAGTTCAATCCCTGGTACAAAAAAAAAAAGAATGATATTTATCTGGAGGGTCCATGGAGAGGACTGAAGGGATGGCATACACATAGGTCTCCAATAAATGTTCCTTTTTTCTCTTCACACCAAATATTTGATTTCAAGGGACTAAATCCTCAGTGCTCGTGACCTTCTGGGTAATTGTAGCTAAGTGGCTTCCTCTCCCTTAATCTCTTCCATAAAATTAAAAGGAGAAGCTTATTAAGTTCCTCAGTGTTTAATTAGAGTTTGTTATATACTAGATACTCCTGGTTGAAAAGAGTTATTTACATGCAAAATGCTGTTATCTTTTAATTGTTTCCTGGCCTAAATTGTGTAGTGTTTTAATGAGTTTCCATCTCTGAGATGATGACATTGCGCACCTAGATGATGTGAGTCTTAATTAATTAAAGCTTATTAAGCCCACACAAGCCTATCTTAAAAGGCTAAATGTTGATAATTTATCTTTCATATAGTTTTCTAGTATTTTAATACAGCAGCCAATATTGTCTAATAAAACATGGCATTTCAGCACCAACTTAAATAATGTTTACTTCATAATTGTGTGTGGGGATCTAATATATTACTTACTTCTTAAAGAGTTTTTGCTTTTAGCTTGCCATGGTGGCACATACCTGTTATCCCAGCTCTCTGACAGGCTGAGGCAGAATGGTTCTGAGTTCAATCCCAGCCTGGGCAACTTAGCAGTGATTTAGCAATCCCCTGTCTCAAAAAATAAAAGCTCTCGGGACATAGATCAGTGCAGAGGTCCTAGGTTCAATCCCCATTAATCCCCTGCCTCTCACCCCCGCCTCAAAGTGCTTTGTGCCTTTAGTAAGAAAAGGGTTAGGGGAAGTAGTGATAATATTGCTCTATCATGGAATAGTTTCTTTTCTTTTTTTTCAGTACTGGGGATATAATGGAATAGTTTCTAACAAGTTCACATTTCAACACATATCTCATATAAAATGATGAAAACTGACCTAAAAGGCTAAAATTTTGAAATAGAGACAGTTTATATATAATTAAATTTTTTTCTTTTTGTGACACTGGGGATTGAACTCAGGGCTTCTGGCACACTAGGTGAGTGTCCTATCAGAGCTACACCCTTGGCCCAGTTAATATTTTTTGTTTTGTTTTTGGGACAGGGTCTCACTATGTAGTTGAGACTGACCTGGAACTCACTGTGTAGCCCAGGCTGGTCTTGAACTCACAGCAATCCTCCTGCCTCAGCCTCCTGAATGCTGGAATTACAGGCATGAGCCACCACGCCTGGCTAGCACAATCCAATTCTAACACATTGTGTTTATTTAGAGAGCATTACTATTTGTATAAATTTCTAACTATGTAACTGTTACATCAGGATTGTTTGTGTTGGGGTGAAGGGGATTTATAGAGCCTAGGACTTTGGTTCTATAGCAATGCCTTTCAATAAGTCAATGTATTCTTTTATTTTTACATCACTTGTATTGGTCAGCTTTCTCGTTGCTTGGACAAAATACCTGATACCCAAAGCGGAAACATCATGGCAGGGCAAAGCTGCTCACTTTGTGGCAGCTGGAACAGAGCTCAGAAGCGAGCCAGGGAGAGATGCCCCTCCGAGAAACACCCCCTGTGGCCCCTCCTCTAACCAGGCTCCATCTCCTGACAGCACATTCAACTGTGACTATCAGTGGGTTAATTCTCTAATGGGCACAGCACCCGCCCGGTCCGGTCATTTCTCCAGGAGTCTCAAGCCAGTCAAGTTGGCAACTAGCATTAATTGATACAACAGCCCTTTGAAGCAGTGTTGTCATCATCTTTTACAAAGCAGGAAGATAAGATGTTAGGTAATTTGCTCAAAATTGTGAAACTAGACGTGGCAATATCAGGATCCAAATTATTTTCCTTTTTTTTTTTTTTCTGGTACTGGGACCAAATTTAGGACCTTGCATCTGAGAAGCAGGCAGTGGCACCACTGAACTAAATCCCCAGCCCTACCAGGATCCAAATTCTTATCCTGTTGTCCCCAGGGCATGAGGAATGGGCAGGACTCTACACTGCTGTGAACAGCAATCTTCCTAGCTGAGCCATTCCCTCTTTGGCTTCTTAGAAGGAGCACTCATCAGTAAGGGTGTTGCTCTCCTTGGTCTCTGCTGTCTTCCAGCTCAGAGTTTTATCAGATTGGCTGTCAGGTCAATTTTTTCTTTATATAGAAGAAGACTATACAGAAGAGAACAGTGAGGTTTCTTTTTAAAGGATTGTGATAAGATGAACAGATGAGAATCAGTCTTATTTAAACTCTAAACCGCGCGTGATGGTGCATGCCTGTAATCCCAGCATTCTGGAGGCTGAGGCAGGAGGATCTCTGTGAGTTTGAGACCAGCCTGGGCTACATAGTTCCATGCCAGTCTCAACTACACGGTGAGACCCTGTCTCAAAAAAAAAAAAGCTAGCTGGGCGTGGTGGTGCACACCTGTAATCCCAGCACTCACTCAGGAGGCAGAGGCAGGAGGATGCTGAGTTTGAGACCAGCCTGAGCTACATAGTGAGTTCCAGGTCAGTCTCAACTACATAGTGAGACCCTGTCTCAAAAAAACAAAAAAACAAACAAACAAAAAAAAGCTCTGAGATGCATAGTAATTACCGCCAAGAGATTCTGGAAGATCACTTTCCCTCCCATGAGCCTTCACGGAGGGGGGGAGGGTTCCTTCTCCGGAGTAAAAAGGTCTTGACTGTGCACAAAGACTGGAAGACACACCCCTTCCAGGCTCCCTGAAAATAGGTGCCCACACTAGTGTTCACACTCACATATGCAGACCCTGGCTGCAGGAAAGGATGAAAGTTATGTATTGAACCCAGTTCAAGACTTCAGAGCATCTTTTTATTTACTAACAACATACAAAACATACAAGAATATATATTCTTTTCCTTTTGTGAAAAGGCTGAGTTGTCTGGAAAAACAGTGTCTTGGGCCCTAACTGAAGCCATATCTTCTTATGCACATGGTTTGAGTGAATCTCTTTTCCTCTGTACTCTCTGGATTTTCCCTAGACCCAGAGCCCCCCAAACAACAAATGCCTGTGTGAGGTATAACCCACTGTAGTGTGTGGTTTGTAAATTCAATAAACACTGGCTGATAAGTAAGTTTTGAATATAAAATATACTCCAGGGACAGGGATTTAGCTTAGTAGTGCTACACTTCCCGTGTAAGTGCAAGGCCCTGAATTCGATCCCCGGTACAAAAAAAAAAAAAAAACAAAAAAATTGTTTTTAAAAGATCATGTGGCAAGAATTTTCAAAATTTTAGCTGGGCGTGGTGGCTCATGCCTGTAATCCCAGCACTCGGGAGGCTGAGGCAGGAGGATCGCTGTGAGTTCTAGACCAGCCTGAGCTACATAGTGAGTTCCAGGCCAGTCTCAACTACATAGTGAGACCCTGTCTCAAAACAAAACAAAACAAAAAAACCAAAAAATTAAGAACAAAGCAAAACAAAGAATTTTCAAACTTTTCCCAAAGCAAAGTCTGTGGTTTATAGCACAAATTAAACTATCTGGTGATAGGTGGCTATAGGACTCTGGTTATCCATAGGAAAATCAGATTGAAAAGACAGTGCTGACCCAAGAGCAAGAAAAACAAGCAAAGGCTGCTACTAAAACACTAAAAGGCGGTGGGGAATGCAGCAGGCTAAAAAACAAATCAGCCATCATGTGGTGTGAACTTGAAGAGAAAATTGAAAGTCAAAGAGGCTGGGGACTTAGCTCAGTGGTTTGGTGGCCTGCTTGGCAAGCGCAAGGACCTGAGTTCAATCCCCGGTACCAAAAAAAAAAAAAACCACAAAAACAAATACTGGTTTGCTCACTTGCAAAGATTTTCCCCTTGATATTTTAAAATAGTTTCAGGGTAATCTGTGACAGCGGGTCATCAAATCAACGCCCCCCCGCCGAAGGCCCCCCCCCCCCGTCCCTTAGCCTGACTATAAATAATACATCCACCTAGCTCTTGAGGGAGTATTAGATCAATGTGTTGCTCTGTCAGAGTCCCTTCTGTCACTCCACAATGAGAAGCCAGGCTGTCACACTGAATGGTGTAGGGTTACAGTTACTCACTGCATTTGTAGGCAGCCCGCATTTCTGAGATAAAGCTAGCTGATAAGATTACCAGGGTGATATCAAGTGCAGCCTGTGCAGAGGGGACCTTCATTACATTACCTCTGAAAATAGTTGAAATCTAGAACCACCATACACTGAATACAAAATCCATGAATATTTGACCCCTGGGTGTGGCTTAGGACTTATTATTCTGAGCCAGATCCTATTTTCTTTTGTGGATAAATAGACATCCAGAGCTAGGAATAGGTGGAAAGAATGTAAAAATGGAAAGAGTCAAGCTGAGTATTTTTTTGAATGCTCTTAAAGTTTAAATCGCATTGAAAGTTTCCTGGTGTTCTGCAACATGATTTTTTGCTTAAAGGGACCCGGCGGTGGCGGCACACCGTGATTCTGAAGCTCTGTTAGTTCTGTTATTCAACTGCAGTTAGCTTCCAGCTACTGAAAAAGGGAAAAAAAAGATGATTTAAGTTCAAGGATTGCTCATCTGCGCTCTGCAAGGCTTCTCACCTTGTTCACCTCGTGATGTAGGTGAGTTTCTATTGTCGCTGCTACTGTTTTATCTCTTCATGTTGGTTGTCATTTTGAGGTTGAAGACTTAGCGTATTACTTTGTGCAGAACAAAATGACAAAGGGTCGTGTCCTTAAAGCTCCTAACTGCAAGCCAGTCACTTCCCAAAGGACAGATATAGAGAGGAGCATGAAGAGTTTGGATTGGTGAATCACTACCTCCAATAACCAACTCTTGTTCCAACTGCAGTCAGTAGGGTTAATCTCAGAAGCGAGGCATTTGGGACCCCAGGGATCTGGTGGTGCTGCTGACCGGGACTTCGGTGGAGGAAGGCAGGGAAGGGTGAGTGCGAACAGTGACTGTTTTCTCCTCCACAGCGGGGTCACGGACATCCTCACGGGTTTGCCTGGCTAGCAGAGGTCTAAACACACAACAGAAGGTGCCAGGGATGCGGTCAAAGGATCGTCACAGGTACACTGTCCCCCACTTTTGGTGATAAAAAGTCTTCCAATATATAAAGATAAATTGTCACTAAATGTGCTGAAAAACTAGAATATCACCTACCAGCCAGAAACAATGATTCACTGACCATCCTTTGTTTCTAATCACTGTGGAGTTTGTTTTTTTTTCCATCTATGTACAGTCTTAATTGATTTTATCAAGTTCCCAAGTCGTTTCAGCCCTGGATACCTTCCTGACAAGTGGGTAAGCTTAGATGGGCACCTCAGCACCAAATTTAGACTTCATGATGAAGTAAAACACGCAGGGAAGCGCGGTCAGCATGGCGAGGGGCTTGCTGTTCATTTCCGCTCAGGGCCCAGACTGAAGTGTCTTCCTGCCGGGTTGCCCGGATGCCCAGGCCTCCTTTGCACAATAGAGGGACTATGAGCTATTCTTGAGCTCACAATGGTCAATACAGCTGCAGAAGAAGCTAGGGCTCCAAACGTTTTCCTGGACTTCACTGAGTCCGACTGGATGCTACAGAAAGGTTCTGTTGGGTTCTGATCAGAATCTCTTGAAGGTGCCTTTGGATTCCAAGGTTGAGCTGGGTGTTGACGTAAGACATACCAGTTTCTTCCAGCTACCTGTAAGGGGCCCATTACAATGCTAAAGATGCAAATTGTGTTTTTCTAGAAAAAAATCTCTTGCTATTATTATTATTATTGCTTTGTTTTTTTTTTGAGACAGGGTCTCACTATGTAATTCAGACTGCCCTGGAACTCACTATGTAGCCCAGGCTGGTCTGGAACTCACAGCAATCCTCCTGCCTTAGCCTCCGGAGTGATGTGATTACAGGCGTGTGCCACCACGGCCGGCTTGCTATTTTTAATGCACATACACATGCGCACATATAATAATGATAATAATAATAATAACCACATAAATTGTATTTCTATATGTAGTGAGAGAGTTCCTTGGGCTTCTGGCTTATCTTGGTGGGGTCTCTTTCTAAAGATCTGTGGCAAAAACAAAAATGTATCAGGGTAGAATTCTATTTTGGAAGTGAGATGTGCCAACCAGAGTTTTTTCTTCCTTAACACGAAGGGCTTGGAGCCCAGCAATGGGCCCCTTGAATACAAAGAATGCACCAGTATGACTTTTTGTAGCTGGGCTCCTTAAAAGTCCTATAAAATTAGAGTTTGTCTTCTTTTTATCTTTTCTCTACAGACATTTAAAAATACTCTCTTTAACCTCAAAAATTAGACACTACTTAAATTACCTAGTGATTTTTCACCTTTAAATAGTATACTCATTTTACAGATAGATTTTGAAGAGCTTTGGGGTTCTTTTGGTGGTGGGGATCAAACAGAGGTCCTTGTGCTTAGGAGGCGGGTAGAGGCAACACTGAGCTAAATCCCCAGCCCAATTTAAAAGACTTTTAAAACGGTGTTAGAGATTACCTTACAAATGCAAATTCTTCCTTTATCCTTTAAATATCACGTCAGGTAAGGAGCAACTAGTCTTTTGCTCCTAGGCAGTCTTTAGTATTCCAACACCAAGATTAGTTTTGGTTTTTAAAATTTTACTTTGAAATGCCATTGGCTAAATCCTCACTGTGTCAGGTGCCACGCCACGTGCTTTACTGTGTCACCTCATGCAGTCGCCCAGTGATCCTGTGGGCCGGGTATAATTGTTCTTATCATTTTAGAACAATAACCTGATACTCAGGAAAGTTAAAAATTTGCCAAATGACATACAGCTGAGGAGTGGAGAAGGCAAAATTCAGACCCAGGTCTCTCAATTCCAGCTTTCCTACTGTGCCTTTGACTTTCCTGGGAAGCATTTTCCCTAGCTCTGTTTCAGCTTGGTTGGAGCAACCTGTAATTCTGTTCATGAAGAACAGACTCCTTCATTTATAGTAAACACCAGTCTCCAGAAATGATTTAAAGTATCCTGTGGTTATATCTTCCCTTCGGATCCCATAAAATTGCTTTTAAAAATGTGAGTTCTCTGACACTGGCATGTTGTCTTTATAACTATGATTTTTGTATAATGTTTCACAGATGCCTTTGCCACATTTAATTTTTACTCGTTTTTTCTTTGCTCAGTTTTTTTCAACAAACATATTATTTTAGCTTTTGAGGCTAACTGATAACTCACAAGTACCTGCATCATACAAATGGGGATAAGGAAGGACTCTCAGGTCCATTCCCTCACCTCATTATCACTGGCTGGGCCCGGGGAGGGCAGCCCGTGGTTGCATCCACCCAAGCTAGCAGACCTCAGAGCATGGCTGGTGTTCAGGGCGACAGACCCTCAGTCACTCCACCTAGAGCTTGTGATAGTTTTACTGCCTCTAAGTAGTCATCTCAAAAGCTCACAAATCAAAAAGAGATATCCAAAAGGATGTTTTAAATTTCCTTTAAAACAAAAAAAAAGACTCCTACGTCTGGCTTCGCTCTCGCCATTTTCAGGGGCTTCAGAACCGCTGCCACCACAGTGTCCAGGCTGCGGCAGCTGGCCAGGGCTGCTCGGGGGAAGGAGCCTCTCCAGCTAGGCTCCTGCCTGAGGCCTCAGTAAAACAGGGCTGTGCGGCTGCGGTATGGCCTCCAGGGGTGAAAAGTCCTGTTTGTCCTCCCTTGCTCATATTTGTGCCAGTCCTTCTCAGACACACTAGGGAAAACCAGGGAAAGAGGATCGGAGTGTCCAGGACAAATGAAAAAGTAGCAGAATGTGCAGCAGCAGTTGGAGGACATCAGGTGAAGTGAAAGAAACCAGGCAGGCAAACTCACGTGCTGCATGATCTCACTCGTCTGTGGAATCTGAAAAAGTTGATTCCACACAAGCAGAGAGCAGAGCAGTAGTTAGCAGAGGCCGAAGTTGGAGTGGGTAGGGAGAGTCATGGGTACAAAGTTAGGACAGGAAGAATATCCTCTGATGTGCCATAGTAGGCTGACCGTGGTTAACAGTGGTGTATTGTATGCTGGGAAAGAGCTGGAAGAGAGGATTTTGTTTCACCATAAAAAAATGAAATGTCTGGGGTGATAAATATGCTAATTAGTCTATTTGATTACTTTATACACATTTATCAAAACATCACACCGTACTCCAATATGTACAATTACTATGTGTCAGTTAAAAATAAAACTCTTTACATTTGATCTCAGCCAAAAGGCCAAGAAACTACCAAATAAAACTCTTTTTAGCTGGGTGTGGTGGCGCACCCCTGTAATCTCAGCCCTTGGGAGGCTGAGGCAGGAGGATCACTGTGAGTTCGAGACCAGCCTGGGCTACATAGTGAGTTCCAGGTCAGTCTCAACTACATAGTGAGACCCTGTCTCAAAAAACTTAAAAACAACAACAACAACAAAAAACTCTTTTCAAAGTATCAGAAAAGAGAAGGTAAAGATTATGCTTGAACTGAGCCTGTTTTCAGTGGCACAGGTTGTAGAGGCCCATTCGTGATATGTGGAAGGGTAATGGCCACGTACTTCAAACAATCTTATGCCTCCAACCCAAGCTTTCAAATCCCAAATAGTATTCTTAAGAGAGAATGGTAAAATGGGCTAATAAAAACAGGTCAGGCTGGGGATTTAGCTCAGTGGTTCTGGCGCCTGCCTCGCAAGCACAAGGACCTGAGTTCAATCCCCGTACCAAAAAAAAGAAGAGAGAATGGTAAAGATTTGGTCATGTAGACCAATAAAAATAAGCACAGCTTCAGATATTATTCTAATATATTTAACAATGAGAGTGTTCTCATTTCCTATAGATTAGGACATAAAATGAAGACTATCAGTGAAAACCAGAAGATCTAATGTGACAATTAAGGACACTAAAACTAGGCGGCAGAGGACAAGAGGTACCAGGATAGATAATTATGGATGAAACTGATTTTTCAGAAGATACAACTTATAAGCAGCAGGAGGATTTGCCTTACGATGACACTGTCTCCCAAATGAAGATGTGTAATGATGGCAATTTTACCTCAAAAAATAACATCCTGGGTGTCTCAGATCAAGTTATTCCAACAGAAGATGACCCTCTTGAAAAGGCACCACATAATGAGAGCTACCGAAATCCAGCAGTGGCCATGACTTGGGAAAGAATTACTGAAAATGATTTCCTTGTTGACAAAAAAGGTGATAAAGAGAAACAATGTTTCATGACTCTTTATAGCCCAGCTGATGAAGGAGATGCTTTGAAGTCAAATATTTCTGATATTTTGCTCCATCATCTTTCTAAAGATCAATTTCTAGGAGGTCAAAGCATTGATTGCGAAACTCTCCCAGAGATCTCTCATGCCGATAGCAGTGACGAAGCAGCTATTATTACAAATGTTTCTTCATGTTATGTTAAGAACTTTTGGTCAAAAGAAAAAACCCCAGAATCCCTTCACCAACTCAACCCTAAAAGGGATGGTGAAAACAGCAGTAAGTCCAGTTGTTCTCCAAGTTCTTCTGATTTGGAAGAGCAAGTGGCTATTGGAAATCAAGAAAATTCAAAAAATTTAACAAAAATAACAGGTCTGAGTGATAAACAAAAAAGTTGCCAGCGGCAGGAACCCCAGAAACAGCTGACTGAAAAAGGAAGCTTAAGCAATGTGTTCAAATGTGGCCAAGGTCAAGTTCATTACCAGCTCCCAGATTTCTCTAAGGTTGCTCCTAAAGTAAAAATCTCTAAAAATAACCTAATAAGTAAATCTCTTACAATGGCTAAACAAGCCAGCTCCTCTCCTAAACTGAGAAATAAATCAACAATTGTGCAAGACATTTTAGAAAACCTGTCTAGGTCAAATTGTGTTGAAAAACAATACCCGGAGAGGAAAAGGAAAATTACAGAAACTTCACAACAAATACAGGTAAGTAAAAACAGTCTCCTGTAAATGTGGATAGGTCGCTGCTCATCTATGTTGAGGTGACTTTTTAGGAGGTGTGTGGAGCACAGTTCTAGCTCTGGGGTTCCTTTGGACCCTCTAGATCAGTGATGGCAAACCTAATAGAGCTTTCATCGATACCAAACAGCCCACTGTAGCATGTGTGCGATAGGTTTGCCACCACTTTTCTAGACCAACGGGAGTGGGCGGGGGTAACAGCCTCTCAGAACCTCAGTGATGTTTTCCTGAGAAAAATTAGAAACTGCACTCACAAAAATACCTAAAGGGAAGCTGGGCATGGTGGCGCACACCTGTAATCCCAGCACTCAGGAGGCTGAGGCAGGAGGATCACTGTGAGTTCGAGACCAGCCTGGGCTGCATAGTGAGTTCCAGGACAGTCTCAACTACATAGTGAGACCCTGTCTCAAAAAAAAAAAAAAAAAAAAAACCTAAAGGGATAAATCTAAATTCCTCAAGCTGGAATTTGGGTCTCCTCATTTATTCTTTTAAATTTTATGTAGCCGTCTAAACTCAGCATCTCCTCCGGGAGTCATCCACAGTTATCTGGCTGATCTGGAACCTCTTCTCAGGCCCTGAACCCTCTCACCTCTTCTTTCCTTGTATGAAAATCCCATCTGGACTCATCAAAGACCTGCTCATTCTCACACCATCTTTCAATTCCCCTCAGACTATGCGACTACGTCAGTCTTTTCCACCCTTGCTTGTTTGGTACTTTTGTCAGGGCATTTATCTCAGCTTGCTTTGGGTAGTTAATAATCTAGAGGTACTTGTTTCTCCTACTGGATTCAAAGCCTCTGGAGGCTGGCAAACTTGTCTTCATCTTTCCATTGCCTAACCTCCCCTAGACGTTGGGCCTTGATGCCTTGTGTACATTATTCCTTTAATTACTGAACTGAGTTGAACTAAGCTCTTTGACAATCTATTTCAAACCTGGCTGAGACTCAGGCTCTCACTGATGGATACTCAACAGTAAGGTAGAGTCACCGTGATCATCAGTGTTACTTTCCAGTTGTTCGGTGCTTTGCCAGAATTGTATTGTTGTTCTTTCAAGCCTTATACACAGGGCATCCTGGATGCAACAACAATGTCTGCCTATTTCTATTTCCATCCCTTGTTATTCAACCTCTTTCTCCTTCAACTGGTCACACCGGCGAATTTCAGCTGGAGCCCCATCCCCCGCAACACACACCCATGGGACCAGCCAGCCACATGGCCGTGACTAGGCTGCTTCTCTAAGTCTTGGAGATACCTACATCCCTATGGTATTGGGAAGTCTCAGCTTCCTTGTTCTGCTTACCGGAGAGCATGTGTGCATTGTGCTCTATGCTCAGGACTCTGGTTAGTAGGAGCAGAATGGATATCAGGCCCATCCCCTGTGGCAATTGGAGTCTGAGATCAGGCATTTGATATTTTCCAATCCTTGTCCGTTCGACTTGGAGACTGGATCCCATAGTTCTATACTCATCCCATACTGGAGAAACTCATGACAAGTCTATTTGGCCACTGCCATTCAGCTCTCAGGCATGTTTCTGAGATTTATGTGTTGGGAACAATGGAAGAACCACCAGGTGAGTCACTCTGGGATTGAAACCCGTACAGTTAGCCTGTGGTGAGCGAAAGCAATCATTATCTCGATGCACACTTTAGAATTTAATGCATATTATATTATTCCTAGAATAATGGTGTTAGTGAAAACACTAGCAACATAGCTAGTGACAAGATCCATAAAGCCCTCATTCAGCTTCTGGTCTAGTTTTAGTAGAAATGTTTGCATAATCCACATACTGGTATCAAGCACGATCCTAACGACAGCTACTTATTGCTGACTACTTACCACATGCCTGATATGATGGCAAATATTCAACATTTATTCCTCATAGCAATCCCATGAGGTAGATTCTGTACTACCCTCATTTTATTATGAAAAAAATCTAAGGCTGACAATAATGAGGTAATTGCCTGGGTTACCTAGCAAATAAGTGTCAGAGTGGAATTCAGCCTCAGTATCACAGTCCCAGCTCTTGACCACAGCACTCGGGTGCCTCTGTGATGCCCAGAACACATCGAGGCATTCTGAATAATGGTGCCATTGCCCAATCTCAGCAGTAATGTTTTCTTATCTAATTGTGCAGATGGAGTCTGCAGTACACATCCATCAAGAACTTCTCACAGGTACTGATGCTTTAAAACTTCTTTGATTTAGATAATTTTAAAACTTTAAAAAAAATTTTGGAAAAGGTGGTGACTGCCGCAGTCTTCTGTCTTAGCTACTTAACAAAACTGTGGCAAGTTAACATGAACAGTAGGCAGAGCTTACTCTTTCTCGTATAGGATTAGAATCAGAGACAAGTCTTCTGAAGTTAACATCAGCCTCTCAGAAAGATCTTTCCTCGAGTTCTTCTTCCATATTTCAAAAGATATGCCAAGGGAAACAGATGTGTCAGAAATTAAAAGAACAAACTGAGCAACTGAAGACCAAGGTAACACATTGAAAACTCATTCTAGACATTAGAAGTAACTACCCGTAAATGTAAACACCAGAGACTATACCACTAATAAAATACTACATCTTTTCACTGCAGGTACAAGAATTTTCCAAAAGAATACAACAGGACTCTCTCTGCCATTTGCAAGACAGACAGCTGGTAATGAATTTTATCTAGTTTTAAAAATCTTTTTTAGAGAATTTGACATGGGTAAATATAAATAACTTCATAGCACCCTGTTTTTTCTACAATGGTGGGAAATGTTTGTGAGGCAGGTTTTTTTTTTTTATGCAGGAATTGAACTTGGGACCTTGTGTTTGTGAGGCAGGTGGTGGAACCACTGAGCTAAATCCCTGGCCCTGGTGGGAAATGTCTGGCTAAAGATTAAACTATGTGCCAGGCATGGTGGCACACACCTGTAATCCCAGCAATTGGGAGGCTGAGGCAGGAGGATCGCTGTGAGTTTGAGACAAGCCTGGGCTGCATAGTGAGTTCCAGGTCAGTCTCAACTACATAGTGAGACCCTGTCTCAAAAAAAAAAAAAAAAAAAAAAATGGCTGGGTATTTATCTAAGTGGTTCTGCTGCCTGCCTTGCAAGCACAAAGACCCTTTAATCCCCTGTGCCCCCCCCAAAATTAAACTATGTTTTTTCTGGGACTACAAATGCTTAGAATTATGTTTCTGAATGCATCTGGCACTCTTTCTCAGGGGATCTGTTACCTTATTAGTCACCTCATAACAAATGTGAGACCATGCCACATTCTAGAAAAGACCTGTTGTAAAGGATGATCTGTTCCTGTAGGTCATAAAAATTGTGGTGGCTCAATAGGTAAGACTTGGAAAACGTTTAAAATACTCAAAGCAGTGCTTTTCAAGTTAAAGTCTTTCACTTTCACTCTTTGCTTGTTGCTGCCTTTAATCAGATTGCTGAATTATGCTGTCACTGTGACGGCCCTGTTATCAGTGCTATGGTCATGAGAAGAGGAAGAGGAGCAATGAGGGGAAAGGCTGAGACTGGAATAACTAAAAATGGACAGAAGGTGTATTTTGGGTCACTGAGTCAACACTAAGGCTGGTGGCCAGAGTCTTGATGCAGGCATGAGCAAGGGTCAGGGCAGTCTATGCTGCAGATATCCCAGAGTAGGGACGGAACCCAGGCAAACTCCGATACTAAAGGACACAATTGATTATTCACTTACGTGTGTCATATTAATTGAATCGTTTGCTCATTCATTCATTCCACAAATATTTCGGATGCACTTTCTATCTCCCAGGAACTGGAGATTTGGAGATGAGCAAGCATTTCCTTTTAAAGTGGCTTATAGTCCAGGAACAACAGGTTGTTCAGCAAATAACTAAAAGGTAGCTTGAGAAATGTCATAGATGATGCTCATGATGGCTGCAAGAGGCAATGCTCTTGCCTTTGAGGGAATGGTTTCAAAGGCTTCCTGGAAGGGACTTGTGACTTGGGCCTTGCTGGAAGAAAAGGGGTAGGTAAGCTTGGCAGAATAATGGGAAAAGCAGTCCTCCAGAAAAAGGAAGCAATAGGCACAGAGGGGCCAGAAATGCTCCCAGTGTGAGGTTCTGTGTGGCCCTGTAGTTTACCAGATGGAGCTCAGAGTACCTGTAAGGGGGAAAACTGGAGAAGTGGATGAGAACCACATCAGAAAAGGCATACTAAGGAGCTTAGATTTTATCCTGAGTCTGGACAATGGGAAGGAACATTGAAGGATTTAAAGCAGAGAGATGACAAGCATCATGAGAGCATGACTTAGGGAGACTGAGCCGTAATCCAGCACAAGTCAGCAAAGCCTGAACCAATGCTGCTGAGAAAAGTCTCTGGGTTTGAAGTAGTGATGGACTGGAAGGGATAAAAGTATGAAAGCGGGGAGCTGTATGAGTTCCAAATTTCCTAACCATGTTAGGAATAAAAGTGGAGAATCCATATCAGAAACACAAATGGGGGACAAGACATAAAGTCTAGTTTTGGGGCACTTTGAGTTTGGGGGCCTCCAGAGGCCATTGCAGTGTGGAGGTCCAGCTGACAGAACATGCGTCTGGGCCTCAGAGGTATTTAGGCCATAAATGTTGATTTGTCCTTGAAATGCTGATTTGGTTTGACGTTGTGCGGTGATGAGATTTCCCAGATGAAACAGTCTCAGAGTCAAGGACAAAATCACTGACAACAGCAACCAAAGGGAAGGGGAAAGAAGAGAGGCCCACAAAGGAGACCCAAGAGGAAGGATCCAAAAGGTCAGAAGCAGACTCAAAGGAGCAAAGCTATTGCTGAAACTGAGAGAAAAGAGGACTTCTAGAAGGGGCATGTGGGCCACGCCATCAAACGTTCAAGGAAGGAAGGAAAATAAGATGAGCTTGGATTTGGCAACCAAAAGGTCATAAGGTTCCCTGCCAAACTTACTTTCAAGAGATAGCATATCTGGATGGCAGCTTGCAGGGACTAAGAAATAAATAATAAATAAAGATCTCTCAAAAGCAGAGATTTGGGGAACCAGAAGAATGTAGAATTTAAAGGACCAAGCAGAGGACAACTGGTTTAAGGTGCTAGCCTTCAGAGGCCTCCATTCAGGAAGTTTCTTCCTCACGTTAGAGGGTAAATGGAGATTCCTGTTAGGAATGAGGACCGTAAAGGGGCTCCTGACAGTGTCAGCCTGTGGTCAGAGTGTTCCAGACCCACTGTTAGAGAAAGATCAGACAAGACTAAAACTACCTTCTCAGCTGGATCAGTACAGCATGATGGGACACAGACACCCAAGTGTTACACAATCTTAGACCTGTGGACGCATGTCTTCCATCTCAGAGCTGTTATAAGAACTAAATGCAATACACTTACTCTAGAAAAGTGTGCCCCATCTTCTGATATATGCCTTAAATTCCAAGATCCTAAATTAGAATTCATGATTGGCCTTTTTTTTCTTTTCTTCTTATCTCCTTTCCTCTAGACACCTAATTCTTTCTCATGGCTTTAACTGACATGTTCATGCTACCAATTCCTAAACAATCAGTCCCAGCTTTTCATCTGTAGCTCTCAGTGTCTGTATCTTCAGTCAGACATCCTGCTCTCACTGTGATTCTCCTTGTCCAACACTGACATCGCTTCTCTAACTTGTTAGTCTTCTCCAAGTCCCCCAAGTCCTTGTTTTAACTGGGATTTATCCTATTTTCCCCATCTCTCAAGCCAGAGTCTCCAGCCTTGTCTGTGAGGTTTACAGCATCACGCAGGATCTTGGCAGGGAAGAGATGTCTGGCTAACATGAGGTGAATGAAGAGAGTTTGATAAAGTATCCTTTTATAACAGTGTGGGCAAAGTTGTGAGCAACCAGTAGTGGATAGGAAAGCATCTTTCTCATGGAAGGGATTGTTTGACCCACAGGCCTGAAGAAACAGAGGGAAAGCAGGCCCTGGACCCTAAAGAGAGCAGCAGTGGCTGTAGGAGTGGTTAGCAAGCTCTGTGCATCATGGTTGGAGGACATAGTCAATCATGATGACACGGAAAGGAAGCAGTCAGGGAAATAAAACTCCCATCTCATCGGGCACCAGTGCTGTCTACTACTGGCTGAAAACAACTGAAATCAGGGTAGACAGGAGCCTGTTGATGCTATTGATGTAGGGTCAGCTTTCTGGCTGGAGCATGAGAAAGATGGAGGTTAAATATGGGGAAAAAATGGAAATATCCACCAAACTCACTATTTTTTATAGCCTCTAGCCATATGATCCCAAGTTCCTGTTTACTCGTTTATGAATAAGAATTTATAATAACAGCAGCTACTGCCTGTTGAGTATGTACCAGTGGTTCTTGGTTTATGATGGTTCAGCTTAAGACTTTGTCAAATTTACCACGATGCAAAAGCAATACGTGTGTGTAGAAACTGTACCTGGAATTTTTAATCTTTTCTGGGGCTAGTGACTTGTCTGTACTACTGTCTTGAGATGCTGGGCAGTGGCAGCAAGGTAAAGCTCCCAGCCAGCCACGTGACCGCAGGGGTGACCAACCAACACTGTATGCTAGTGTCCAATCAGCAAATGACACGAGCTATTCAGCACTTTATTATAAAATAGACTTTGTGTTTCACCCAACCACAGGCTAATGTAAGTATTGTGAGCACATTTATGGTAGGCTGGGCTAAACTGTGATGTATTAAATGTATTTCTACTTAGAATATATTTACAATGGCTTTATAGGGATGCAACTCCATTGGAAGCAGAGGATTATTGGCACTATGCCCCTGGTACAATTATCTCATTTTATGTCCACAATATGAGGTGAGAGATGTTATATTCATTTTACATATGAAAAACTGAAGCACAAGGAAGTTCAAGTTGACTAAAATCATTCAATTAGGAAGTGACAGACGCTGAACTTGAACCCTATTGTGTCTGGCCTTGTTTCCCCACTGTACTATATTCTGCCCTTGGAATCATCTTTCCAATTCATCCCTTAGGCTCCTTTTCATGAGTGCTGCCAGGTGTGGACCTTCGGGGCATCTTGTAAGTCTTTCCATTGTGCTTGCCACAGTAGTCCAATCTACAGCCGTTTCTTTAGATAAATAAAACCCTTTAGACCAGGGACAGTGCCTGACACAAGTTTTGTATCTCTTACTTCTGGACCAGGGCAGACATAGGTAGGGCTCGGGGATAGTTTAGGGTCTGGGATGTAGAGCTGAAACCTCTGCGTCTTTAAGACCTACAGCAGCATGGTTTAGCCATTCATCTGCACGAGCCTACATGTGCTGCCGCTAGAAGACCCTTTGCTGCTCAGGCAAAATCTTCTCGCTGTCCCTCCCTGATCTCTCAATCCGGCTGCCTGGACTCAAACCCAGGCTCTCTGACTTCTGTTACTTTTTAAGAACTATGCAGCTTCAGCTGTACTTTTCAGAGCTCCAATGTCCTCCTTTATGTTGTCTGTGTTGCAAAATTTTCGACATTGATGACTTAATAAGGAATGGGAAAGCACTTGGCAAATATACAGGACTATGAACATCCCGCCTGGGAAGGTCAGAGGCCTCTGAGTGGGTTCCCAATGAGAAATAAGGAGTAACTGTACCTTTCAGCGGCGGGCTGTGAGGGTGTTGTGGGTGTCGAGATGACTCTTGGGTTGTCTATGTTTTAAATGTCAGACACAAAAACAACGCTGTGAGGAAGTTGGACACTACTGTAGGGTGCACCTGTAGCTGTGCTTTGGGAAAACAACTCCACGCACAGGCTTACTGTGAATGATTCCAGTGACTTAACTGCCACAGGTGCTGGAGCAACTGCAGGGACATCTCCAAGTGCTGGAGGGGACTTTCTGGCCACCAAGGGGATGCACCTGGCCTTGCAGCAGCAAATCCATAAGCATGAACCCCCAGCTGTTGGTGACTTCGATCCAGAAAGGTCAGGTTTAAATGAGCTGTGGAAAGTAGAAGGGTCAAAGGTGACCTCTTGCAGGTGGGATTCTGAAGTAGCTTCTGGTTTAGGCTTTGGTGTAGGCTCAGCAAAATCTGTGTCATCAATGCAAAAAGCGCCACCTCTGGCTACAAGTAGCATGGAATCTAGTGTATGTAGGGTGCTGTGTGCTGGGAACTGAGCCAAATGGAACAGCCATCTCCTGGGACGGAGGTACTATGCCTCCATTTTGCCTTTTGTTGGGTGCTATTTTAGTTGGCTCTGAGGCACGGAAGAACACTAGAAAGCCCTAGAAAGCTCACATGGTAATCGATGAGCACCTCTTCTACTCTCCTTATTTCTCTCCTCTTTCATTTCTCTTCACTCCTGCTTTTACTATCCCTTTCTGTTCTCTTCTGCCATCTATTTGGCAATTCCGAAAGATAGTAAGCAGGAGGGGATCATTGTAAAGCTAATTTGTGCTGTATGAGGAACCACCCACCCACAAATCCTAGTAAGGGAAAAAGGTTAAAGCTTAAAGTTAAACGATTCCCAAATTTATTCACATTAGAACATTAGAACTCTAAGTTTCCAACTCATCATTTTTACGGAATCATTCTCCTCTCTCTCCACTCTAAAGAGTTTTAAGATGCATTCCAGAAGTCCAGGCTAAGATGGCTTCCATTTACATTTTTGGTATGAATTAAAAGAATCCAGTGAGTAGACTTATTTGTTAAGTTCAGCTCTTTCTACTCATAGCATTTTAGCACAAATCGCTCTTGATGCCAAAATGTTTTAATGATTTTTGTTTCACAACTAGCACCCTGAGGTGCTTTTTTCTTGGGATACAATTTTACTTTTCCAAAATGAATAGAATCTCTGTTTTATTTTAATACTGAGTAATCAGATATCAGGGATGAGGTTTTAATACTGATTTCCCCCCAAAGCTTATCCTCCCAACTGCACCCTGAGAAAATGAGATCTTCATACTCTTCTGCCTTTTTTTTTTTTGTTAATCAATAAAATGAGTGTTATTTATTTTCCAAAGAATCTTTTCTTTGCACCATCATTTTAAAGACAGGCCTCTGAGCACATTGAAACCAAAGTTATGCAATACTTCTTTATTTATATCCTAGTTAAAACCACACTGCTTGGCATGAGTATAAATCAAAAGGGTTTTAACTGCAATTATATCCCATATACGGGAGAAGTTTTCAACACTGGGGAAAGGGAGGACCCAGCCTCTCCCAAAACTCACTTAAAGCCACCTCAGGACAAGCAAAGGCTCATCAGCTCGACTGGTCTCATTTCCACATAGGCTAACTTGGCAAATGGCACAAATCTCACAGGACCCTTGGGCCCTGAAGTACAGGAGCCTTCTAAATGTTTAGTTCAAAGGCCAACATAGATGGCTTTATGTAGGGGCAAGAGTTCTACAAATTTATTGAATAAATCACTTGTCTCTATCAGTTGCTATGCTCTTATTAAAATTTTCTTATTATTATGTTTAAAAGGTAATATGGGGAGTGGTGCTGGGGATTTAGCTCAGTGGTTCCGCCACCTGCCTCCCAAGTGTAAGGTCCTGAGTTCAATCCCCGGTACCAAAAAAAAAAAAAAGGTAAGAAAGGTAATATGGCGGTATAGCTCAGAAGCAGAGTCTTTGCCTAGCCTGGGCTCAGTCTCTAGCAACACACACACACACACACACACACACACACACACACACTATGCAAAAATAGTGGTTTGTATATCATGCATCTTGCTTACCCAACAACTATTTTCTTCTCTCTGTTACTTTCAGTATACAGTCTTATCTTCTGCTACATAGAAAAGATAAAACATTCCCTTAAAATGTCTTCTCCATCTCTAAATCTCCATGTTTTTAACTTTTTCTTCCTTCATTCCTCCTCCAGCCTCACCATCCATGTCCTTGAAGCCCTCCCTTTTGCCTACCTGCAGGTCTTATTCCATTATTTCACTTCTTAAATTATTAGTCACTCCTTGTTCTCTGCTACACTCTCATCTGCCTGCAAGATTATAATATGTTTTCCAATACTTCCTTCAACTATGATTTTGGTGTTTCTGTCTTGCCACTTATGGATTAAGGCAGTCTTTCTCCACTAGTTGAAAAAGAGCTTCTATCAGATACAAAACCTCCATGGGTAGGTGGGACTGGGTCTACGCTATCTCACTGACTTGTTTCTATTTCTTTTCTTTCTTTCTTTTTTTTTTTTTTTTGTACCGGGGATTGAACTCCGGACCTTGTGCTTGTGAGGCAGGCACTGGAACCACTGAGCTAAATCCCCAGCCTGACCTGTTTTTATTTCTACACTAACCACATACTTTTAAATTACTACAGTTTCTATTTTGAAATGTTTATTCATTTTCTTTTACTACCCTTGCAATGCTCTTTTCACTAAGAAATTTTGTCGTCAGCCTATCATGGAATAAACTTCCATGAATATTTTTATTTAGAATTGTATTGAGTTTACAAATTATGCTGGGAAAAGTTAGGATCTTTACAGTAATTGTCCCCATCCAGCACTGTATTCTCTTCATATAAATTTTGTATATTTGTTAAGTTTATTCCTAATTATTTTACAGCTTTTCTGAATGTTATTAATAGATATTTTCTCTAATTGATATAGATGATTTCTCTAGGAAATGTAGAAAAGTGTATTTGACCTCTATGGGCTACCTTATACAGTATTATTCTTAGCATTTTGTTGATTTTCACTTAATTGTCTCAGTTTTGTTGTTATTGTTTTGGTACCGGGGATCGAACTCGGGACCATGTGCTTGCAAGCCAGGTGGCAGAACCACTGAGCTAAATTTCTGGCCCCGATTGTCTTAGTTTTTAGGTATGACAATGATTGCATCTAAAAATAATGATGGGGGTTTTCCTCTCTGAATACTTAGGCATCTCTTATTGCTTTATTTCATTGGCTAGGTTTGCCAGAACAATACTCGGTAAATAACTAGTGAAAGTGTGGATTCTTCTCATGTTCCTAACAGTAATAGGAATTCTCCAAGGCATGCTGATCACTGTAGGTTCAAGTAGATGAACTTCACTGAGAACATTTCCTTTCATTTCTAGCTTTCTAGAATTGGGGTGGTTGCTACTATTTAATTTAGGGAAATGTTAAATCAGGAAGTGAAGTGTATTTTTGTTTGTTTGTTTGTTTTTCTGGTACCAGGGATCGAACTTGAGTCCTTGCACTTGCAAAGCAGGCACCGGAACCACTGAGCTAAATCCCTGACCCAGGAAAATGTTAAATCCAATGAGATTTAGAAATATAGTTTTGCCACTGTGACCTATTAATATAGTATAAATATTAATAAATACCCTAATATGGAAGTATAGAATGGGTCAGGAAATTTTTATAAACGTCTCCATGTCTCCATTTTCCTAGATTTATTTTATATAGTACTCCTTTTTCCTGCCTTCTAGTTGTGAATATTTAGTTTATTGATTTTATTTATTTATTTATTTATTTATTTATTTTGGTTTTTTGAGACAGGCTCTCACTACGTAGTTGAGACTGACCTGTGTAGCCCAGGCTGGTCTCGAACTCACAGCGATCCTCCTACCTCAGTCTCCCTAGTGCTGGGATTACAGGCATGTTCCTGGCTAGTTTATTGATTTTTGAACTTTTCTCCTTGATAACATCTTTTTTTTTTTTAAAGACTATAAAGCTGGGCTGTTGCTCAGCAGTAGAGAGCATGCTTTTCATGCTCAAGGCCCTGGATTCCACGTCTGGCACCAAAGAACAAACAGAACCTCAATTAAGCTGGAAGCAGTAACACAGGCTTGTAGTCCCGCTGCTAGGAAATTGAGGCATTTGATCACTTGAGCCCAGGAGTTCGGGGCAGTCTGGTCAACATAATAAAATCTTATCTCTTCTTAAAAAGGGAGAAAGAGAAGGTTTTCCCAAGTACTGGTTTAATTGCATTATTTTGGTTTTCATATATTGCTTCCTACTTACTATTCAATTGTAAATTATCACTGATTTCCATTTTATTTCCTATTTAATTGGAACTTCTTTTGATGAGTGTTGGGTGAAATATGTTCATATACACATGTACTTTTCACCTACTAAGCTTGTTAATTATTATTCATATATTTTAAATCAGCCCTCTTTCAAAATTTGCATAACAATTGTTTCCATGAAGTCACAGCTCTTAGAACTATAAGGGACCATCGTTGGATCTAGATAAGCAAGGTATTGTTATCCCCTGGGTATAGTTGAAGAACCAGAAAGACAAGTGATTCACCAAGGGATGCTCAGCTACTGGGCAGCAAATGGGGACTAGAGCCCAGGACTTTGGATTGTAAACAGGATGCCAGTCAGGCAATTCCCGTTTGAAGACAAGCCACATTACTAATACAGATCAGTACTATATGCAAGAACTGTTGCCACTAGTTAGAATGCTAACTATATAGCCCAGAAGATCCCTGTTTGTTTATGTTTACTCAGAGAAGTAGAAGGTGAAATCTTCAAGTTGGAGATGCTACTTGAAGATGTTAAAGAGAAAACTGATGAAAGCAAATATACTTCAATTCTCTCTCTTCCTGTGAATTCTCCAACCATCCCGGATGACTTGGCATCCACATTCTCTTCATCCTCAAATGAGGTAACACAAAAACCTAAAGCCTAATTCTGTGCCAGGAAAAGTGGTGCTTATGCATGTGCAGACTCCTAATGCATGGATTTGCTGGACTTGGTTTGCTCCTTGGGTCATTCTTCTCAGGCTCCCCCAGGTCATTGTCCCTGACAGCAGGAAGGGAGGTGGATTTTTCTACTCTTCCAAATAGAGGTCTGAATCTGCAGAGTTGGATCTCCTCGTTTGAAGGACATCATAAAGTTTCATCAACTGTGCTGGTAGCTGCTTTGGTTCTTCCTATAACAACAAGAGAAACAGGGCCCTCCAAAAATCCTAAGTTAATGTCAACTTTTTTTTTTTTTCCTACCAGGGATCAAACACTGGCCCTTGCACTTGCTAGGCAGGTGCCGGAACCACTGAGCTAAATCCCTGGCCCAATGAATTTACTTAAAACGGAACCAGCTTTTAATAACTGGAAGTTATTTCAAATGTTGGTTTTTGAAACATCTTATGAGTTTAGGATGTAGCAATGCAGTTCAAACTGATAAGCCACAGAAGAGCTATTTTTTTCTGGATGAATAAATAGCAAAAGGATCATGCCTGGAAAAAATTTTCTTAATAGTCTTATACTCCATTTTCTAAATAAAGAATAGCATACTAAGTGAAGTAATTTCCTCTGAATCCACATTTTCCTCCTCTCAAGTAAAATTCTTTTTGGATTATTTTTATATACAGGATTGAGAATTCAAATCAATCACCACCATAGTTCTACATGTTTTGTTTTTGTAGCCTGAAGTAGCAGAACATTTCAGACTAAACTCAAATTCAATTTGGAGAGACTGAATCATCTAAGTAATTACCTTAAATTGACCACATAGGTTCATACAGTATTTGAAGACACAACCTGAGGCTGATATTCAAAACTTGAAAGAGGTTTTTGTTCAAGCTACCGAGATGAGATTACATAAATGTTAGCTCTTCCAAAGTGTGTTTAATTCCTCCAAACACTTGGTTGCCCAGCAAAACCTCATTCATCTGAGGACCAGGTTCAGAGGTAGGGTGTTTTTGCACCCTTAGTAGCCAGCTCCCACCTCAGGCAGAATTCTTTGCCCTACCTTCGTGTTCCCACAGTACTGGGCTCATTTGTCTTGTGCCTTGGTACTCATCTTTGTACCTTGAACATCTGACTGAATGCTTCTTACCGTGAAGGCTCCGTACAGGGATCCCAGAGCCGCGGAAGACCTAACTGATCAGTGCTTCACAAGAAATCTCCCAGGTTCACAGCTTATCGTCTCGCTAGGCCTGAACTGCACTAGCTTGGGTGGTATGAGGGAGTCTGTCGAGTCAGCATGGCCATCCACCCAGGAGCTCCCCCAGGTCTGGATTGGCACTTCTCTCCTTGGTCCCCAGTTCACAAAAGTGGCTGTGAAATAAGAATTCTACCTGAGTCATGTCATGAGTAGCCCTGAAGAGAGAGCTTACTGCTAGTCTAATCTATTCAGCACGATTTGATGCTATATGCTAGGCACTTTTCTAGGTACCAAGGCTATAACATGAGCAAGGAAGACAAATGATGCTTCCGGTTCTGTGAGAGAGGCACATACTTAACAGATAGAATTGAATATGAATATAGAACGCCAGAAGTATGATACCAGAGTGATACATTCCGCATGACTCTGAAGGCAGACTGCCTATGTTCAAAGTCTGGCTCTGTCACTTATCAGTTTTGTGATCTTGGGGAAGTTAGGTAACCTTTCTGTGCCTTAGTTTCCTCCTCTGGATAATGGGACAATAATGCCTACTCTTGCTGTTGTCATGATATTTAAATGACTTTATGTAGTGCTTACAGCAGGGCCAGGCCCACGCTAAACACCCTGCCTTGGGTGTTAGCTGTCATGGCCATTAAGTAATGGGACCTGAGCACGGTAGGCCTGGGAGGGCAGCATTACCAGGGGAGAGGTGGCTGGAAGTGACATTTGAGTGAGTCCTGGGTTAAGGAGGCAACTAAGGGAAGGGGCATCCTCCAGGAAGGATGATGTGTGCCTTAGTCGTATAGGAATCGACCTGATTTTGAGTCACTTCCCATGTTGCAGCAGCCCTGTGACTCTGCTTCTTCATGCAGCTGCCCCTGAGAGACAGAGGGATGCCCACCTGAGAAGCTCAGACCTGCTGGGCCAAGCCTGGAGAAACCCTAGGGCAGAGCCCCAGGGGCAGTGGGGGAGGAAATGGGGAGGAAGAGGCCCAGGGGCCACACCCCTTAGGTGCCAGGAAGACCATAGGAAATTCCCAGTGACTTCACCAGTTAATGAGAAACCAAATAAGCTCCCAAAGTGGACCTCCCAGGTGGCTCAAGATCTGATTCTAAAATGCAAATTTGCCCTTTAATTGTTTACTTTTAAACTACTCACCTAAAGGTAGAGGTGAGGCTGCCCAGGACCAGCCAGACCCAATGGACATCAGGCTGTCTTCGGATTGCACGGCAACATCCTATGATCTGGTTTTGGGTTCATTTTGTTAATTACTTGAGTGTGATTCTGAAACTGGCATCCTGGAGAACCCTTTGCGCAGTTCAGCCCCTGACAATGTTTAATTTACATTGTTAGCAGAGTTGAAACCACAGTTAATGTGTTTTAAAGGCAGACAACTGAGAAAATTAGAGAAAATCATGTTCAGTGTTGAAATCTTTATTCTATCAAGTGTTCTAAATGCACAAAGGAGCAAAATTAAGGAAGAACACAAGCACAGGACCGCACTGTTAAGGTTCAAACCCATCTCAGCTACTTATGCTCCACGCTCCATGTGACCTTGACAATTTACTTGAATTCTCTGGGCCTCTGATTATTCAGCATTAAAATGCAGACGATGTGCCAGGAAGTAATAAAAAAAGACAACGTAAAGAGCACCTATTAGCACAAAAGGAACCATCAACAAATACTGCAGTTGTATTGATCAATAAAAAATTACCAAAGCCCTCCAAAAAATCTAATGGGCAAAAGATAGGAACTAAAAAGTCACAAATAGGAGAAACACAACCAATAAATAGCACAAGGCAAAACCTTTCTCCTTTAATAGCACAACTCGAACAACTTTAACACAAACACCCCCCTCTTAAATTAAGAAAAACATTTCTACATGATAATTCCTGGTACCATAAAAGGTGCAGTAGAACTGAGCCATCCACACTGTTGGTGGCTGTATGATCTGTAAAAAAGGAAAGCAATTTGACAAAAGGTGTCCTAGCACAAACAGGTCCATGACCTTTGGCCCAGATGTTTCCTCAGGGAAGTAATTAAAATGTGGAAAATTTCTGTGTTCCAAGATACTTACGCCAGCATTGTTTATAATGGCAGAAAAAGTACATTTATTTTGTATTTACAAGAGGCAGGAGCACAGTCAGAAACACCTGGTGGGAGCTGTCAGCTGTTTTGGTTCAGTAGAATTATTTTGTGTTGAAAAGGGACATACAGTCCATCATTTAGGACATAGGCAGTCCCTAAACCTTGTTTTAATTCATAGCTGAATGTATTTCTTTGAAAAAAAACTTTTAGAACTCAACTAACCAGCGGTGAGATTGATTTAAAAACTATCTTGCTGGTTGGGGCTGGGGCTCATTGGTAGAGCACTAGCACTGCAGAACAAAACAAAAATAAAATATCTTTCTAAACCTGTTCATGCTGTGGTGGAGGGTGGAGTAATTTGAAACTACGGGAAAGAAAAAAAAGGAAACATATTTTCTCCTTTGCGCCCAGCTTTTAAAATCTGGAGGAGGAAGGCAGCTCATCCAGGATTGAAGCTTCTCTGGAAGCTCACGCCGTGGGGCTCTGTCTTCCTCCCGTCCCCGCCCCGCTCCGTCGCCCCTTCTGTCAGGGACGCTTAGCGAAGCCTCCTGAACTCCCGGCCGTGAGCCCGCCCGGCCTGGGCTGCCCGCTGGGCCCAGCGAGTGCAGCCTCAGGGTGAGTCACGTCCTCCATCGCAACCACCTCTGTGTGTGCTTTGTGACGCAGGAGGACCCGAGCGGCGCGCCGGGAGGGCAGGAGCGTGCGGAGACCGTGGCCCCGAGTCCAGGCTGTGCCTTCTGCCGCCGACTCCTGGAATGGTGAGGGCTTCCTCCTCCTCCTCCGCTGCTGCATTCCCAGCATGGATGGGGAGGTGGTCTTGGGATAACACCAGGCAAAAGCTCGTGGAAACACTGGCCAGCGCTGGGCGCACAGATCACACTAGCAGTCGTTCTTTAACACGGGTTTATTTATGGGGGAGAAAATCAAAACCCCAGGGGGGATTTTAAAGGAAGGCACAAATCTCCGCCCCAGCTACCACGGAAGCATCTCCAGGAGCCCAGCTCTGGTAGGAACCGCGGTTTAAATCTTCACAGGTGACTCAGATAAGCCCCCCTGAGGGGAATCACAGTTACAGCCCTGGGCTCTGTTTGAGCACTGCCCGGATGGGGGATTCTTAACTCTCCGTAGCACACCGGCTTCCTCCCTCAGTGCTCTGAGTTGAGTCAGAGCCTTCCCCGTTAGGTCCCACCTGCTCCAGTCCCCTGGGAACAACCTCCATTCCTCTCCTCAGGGTTGATTTCTTTCTATTCTTAAGAAAGAAATCTCCCAGAGCTGATGCTATAAATTGTATAAAATCCTAAGGAGAAATCTTGAGCATTTTTGGATCAACTGTTAACCCTTGTAACTTCAGAGTCATTTGCAGCTTCCGTTGGTAGTGACAGGTGCCACCTTCCAGCTCACCGCGGACTAAACAAAGCTTGCTTAATTTACCTTTGAAAGGTCAAGGGTCAAGCAGGGAGGAGCTGTTTAGAAACCACTTACAAGTAGTAATGAATTTAATAGCTGCAGAAGACGATGTCTGGAAGACTACACTTCCTCTTAGAAAGCATTCCACCACCAGAATGGGCACTTGTCGCAAGTGTTTTATTGAGTTTCTCCCTCTAAAAAAAAGAAACAGCTCGGAGTCTGTGCTAAAAATTACTCTGTGTCATCTGGTGTGGCCCATTGTGTCAAACCTCCCTGCCAATCCTGAGCATTGAGGTGTTCCGTACAAGGGGCAAGGGCGTTCATGAAGCTTACTCAACCAGTCATCCCAGGGCTACTGTTTTTATTTATTGAGTTAAAGCCTGGATTTGGATTTTTTTTTTTTTTTTTTTTAAACCAGGGATTGAACTCCGGTTCTTGCTCTTGTGAGGCAAACAGTGGAACCATTGAGCTAAATCCCCAGCCCTGGATTTGGATTTTAAAGAAGGTTTTAAAGCACAATAAAAAATATTTTGAGGCTGTCTGTGGTGGCACACACCTGTAGTCCTATCTACTCAGGAGGCTGAGGCAGGAGAATTGAAAGTTTGAGGCTAGCTTGGGCGATTTAGTGAGAACCTCTCTCAAAATGGACATTTAAGGGCTCGGGATTTAGCTCAGTAGCACTGCACCTGCCTCACAAGTGCAAGATCCTGAGTTCGATTCCCGGTACAAACAAAATACAAAATAAACAAAAATAAAAAATTAAATTAAAACATTTTGAGTAAACATTTAAGGTACTAAATGTTTTTCTTCCAAAATCCTAGTCTAGATCCTACAGACCCACTTAAATACCAAGACAGAGATAGCAATGTTCCAGACTAAATAGTCTCTCTCTCTTAAGAAAGGGTCTTGCTATGCAGTTCAGGCTGACCTTGAATTCACTGTATATATATATGGCCCAGGCTGGCCTCAAAGTTGCGGGGATTCTCCTGCCTCAGCATCCTGAGTGCCGAATTACAGGCAGGCACCACCATGCCTAGCTAAATGTACTCTTCTATAATGGACAAGACAGAAATAAAATCACAATCAAGTGATTCCCTGCAGAGGAGTAATGAGGAAATAGAATTTACAAATTGCAATCTGGGTGAAGCACACAATTCCTGAGGAATTATTAATTGAAGCGAGGGCTATGCATATCCTCTTTATTCCGTTAGAAGATCAGATAGCTCTCTGATGGGGGAAGTAATAGCATTTATCTAAATGTAAATATGTTAAATGTAACATTTAGATACTTTTATATTATTTTTGATGCAAAACATTGCATTTAAGCAAATACTTTGTCTTGTTGAAAGACAACCTTCTCCAGTAGAACTTCCCTTGGCTGTTATGTTTGGACCAGATTTTAGAGCGCAAAGGAATTTAAAGAACAGCACAATTCATGCATTGGACTGCACTCACTTGAGCGAGTTCCAAGTTTTCCAGTTTGGGGAGCAGATGTTCAAACGCTGCAGAGGAGGGTGGAGACAGAAAATGAAGTGTGAGAAAACATGTGACTCAGAAGGAGAGTATATTTTTCCAAAAGGAAAGGGCCTGGCTTTCCAGTTTCCAACCCCATGAACCCCAGCCAGGCCCCCCTCACACACAGCCCCCTTCATCACTAGCAGGAGCTCCACAGGTCCAGGCTCAGCTGGGCATGCGTGTTTGTGCAGCGCTGCCTCCAGTTCCTACCCGCCCCGGGGAATCAGTCAGTCTCCCTGGAGCCAGGAGATCTTGGTTTTGAGCTCTCCACACTCAGAATGCGCGCCTTGCCCTAGGGGCTGTTACTCTATCCCAGGGGCTGAGCAAGAGCTTTGTTAAGAACTGTTATTAATTACAATTCCTTTAGAGGAATTAGAATCTCTGTGAAGGAGGGAGGCTGGAACTACACACGGGTCGAAGTCGCTGGACAAATGCCATTGTACTTGCTTCCTTCCGATGCCCCCTGGTGGCCCTATACTGTACAACTAAAATTACTCCAGGCCCTCAGCCTTAGCTCTGCATATACCCACAAAACCCACCTTGCAGACTTCTTGGACAGTCAGCTGTACTTAGCGGAAGCCATGTGATCCAGTACTGATTCATAGCATAGCTTCCTCTTCAGATAAGAACTGATTTTTAGACACAGATATGAGGAAAACAAGTTTTTATAGTTCCATACTACTACTTTCTATTTTGTGTATGTAAATATGATGATTAAACTCTGTGGAACAGTTGCACATTTTTGGTTTGTTTCTTTGCTTTTGTTTTTTTGAGACAGGGACTCACTATGTATTTGAGACTGACCTGGAACTCACTAGGTAGCCCAGGCTGGTCTCGCAGCTCACAGTGATCCTCCTGTCTCAGCCTCTAGCAATCCTCCTGCCTCAGCCTCCTGAGTGCTGGGATTACAGGCGTGCACCACCACACCCGGCTAGAACATTTGCTTTTATGTTTTATAAATACATACTTATCAGGCCAAATTGCTGGATGCAATTTCATACAGGGAAGGTTTCCCAAAGGACAGGGGGACCTCTTTGTTGAGGACAACAGGCCACATCCACATTGTTTCAGGCTCTGATATAAGAAATTTAACGTTTCAGTTTGCCATTACTTTCCCTATCTCTTTAAGAAATGTACCATAATTTTATGAGATCTCATGCATTTCTTTCTAGGAAGCAAAAGATGGAGAGAAAAGGTCTCAGAAGGATCAACTGTGGAAGGTTTTCCATTGTCGTTCATGAAAAGGCATCACACCAAGATTCAGCTCTTGGTAGGTTAAAGGGCCGGGGCTGTGGGTGCTCAGTCTTCAGTGTCTCTCTCTGTGGATTCTGCTCACGGTGGGCTCCAGCTTATTACCTGCTGCTCCATTATCACTGCCCTAGACCAGGGTGTTACATTTTTGAGTTTTTTCCTAAATGTACAAGATTAATAATTAAATACGATGTGATTAAGTAGGGTGAAGTGTCGTACCTGTTTCTAGCTGGAATCATAGGACTCCACAGAGCCTGTCAGGCGGTGTCCTCAATCTCCCATCATCCTCTTCACAGCATGACCCATGACTGCACCTGGTAAGGTCACAGGCCGTGTGGGCGTTGCTGCCAACTTGTCTGTAAATGTTTCAAGGAAACAAAGAAGGTAGATCTGGGAGGAGACCAGAGTGCATAAGAGCATGGATCTCAATGATTTTAGTCATAGGATCCTTTCTCCAAAGTTAGTTTAAGCAGAGAAACAGCTCCTGGCAGGGCCATGCTGGGTGAGAAGTAGGCAGGAGACCATTGCCTGGTCAGGCAGCTCCTGAGACTGGAAATCACATGAACCTGATTGTCTTTTGAGCCCAACCTGTGAGGAAACTGGTGGCCAGAGAGCTGGCACAGCCACTTACATTCATCTTCCCTGTCGCTGAGAGCCTGGTTTTCAACTCAGCGTGCTATTAGGTCATACTTGCTTTAAGCTCACCTCTCCATAGATGGTGCATTTTCAAATAATAACCACAGATGTCATGGATTGAATGCTTAGTGTACCAGATGCAAAGTGTGGTCAGAGGGCTTTGGGATTCCCCGAAGACCTTTCAGAGAGGGCACGAGGTCTTCCCTTTTTCTAGCAAGGCCGATATTGCAATAAACTGATGGAGATGCAGCCACACAATCCAGCTGCCTGCTACTCAGCCATGCAGAGATATTTATCAAAATTTTAATGATACTCTTCTTATTTTTGTTTCAGAAAATATAGTTATTTTCATTAAAGCATTACTTTGTTTTTTTATTTAAATTGAATTTATTGGTACATTCTAGGTAGACAGTACAGTTACATTCATTACTGGGATCTTGTACCTTTACATGCCAGGAACATCATTTTGTTAACAGGAGGTTAATTTATAATTTTTATTTATTCACTTTTTTAGAGAGAGGGTCTCTCTATGTTGTCCAGGCTACCCTTAAATGTCTGGACTCAAGCAATCCTCCTGCCTCAGCCTCCCAAGTAGCTGGGAGTATAGGCATGCAACAGCTCACCTGGCTTCTTGTTATTGCTTTCACACTGAGCCATGCCCCCAGCCCTTATTATATTTAACTTACATAATGTTTCTTAAATATCTCAGTATAAAACTCTACTTAAAATCCTCAGAGCTGTCCATCTTGGGAAGATCTAAATGTAGAAATGTCTTGCCATTTATATATCAAAATGTCTCTCCCAGTCCAACAGGAGCTGCCTGAATGTAGTATGATAGCTCTTCTCCTGTGCAGTTAGATTTCTACCCCAGGTCTCTAAAATGGTGGATGTTATGATATTTGGTAGATAAAGCCCCATAAACACAAGCACTTTAGGGCCCTCAACTTTAAGAGTGTAAAGGTTGGGAACTGTTGACATGGTGTATATTATTTATGATAACACCCTTGTAAGGTAGGAATTATTCTCTTTTATTTCATCAATAAGGAAATGGAGGCTCAGAGAAATTGAGTAATGTTCCAGGGTAAAAGAGCTGGTGTATTACTTATCTATTGCTGTGTGATAAAGTACCCCAGAACTTAATGGCTCAAAATCATGAACACTATCCAACAGTTTCTGTAGACCAGGAATTTGGGAGCGGCTTAGCTGGAAGGGTAGGGCTCAGAGGCTCTGGTGAGCTTGCTGTCAGAATGTCTGCAGAGGCTGAGGTCATCTGATGGCTTTGTCCAGGTGGGAGGCTCCTTTCCAGGGTGGATTACATCCTTGGCCTGCGGCAGGAGTCAGCTCCTTGCTACCAGGTGTCAGCTCCTTGCCACGTGAGCCCCTCTAATTGGCGGCTCGTGTGTCATGATGACAGGGCAGCCAGCTTCCCCTAGAGCAAGTGATCTGAGGGAAGCACCATGCTGGAAGACTCAGTCTCTTTTATGACTCAGTTTTGGATGTTTTATGCCACCATTATTACTTTGTTAAAGCCAGGGATTTAGCTCAGTGGTTCCAGTGCCTGCCTTGCAAACTCAAGGATCTGAGTTCGATTTCCCAGTACCAAAAAAAAAACCAAAAAACTTTGTTAGAAGCAAGTCACTAAATCCAGCCCAGGCTTACAGAGAGAGAGAGAGAGAGAGAGAGAGAGAGAGAGGGAGAGAGAGAGGAATTAAGCTCTGTCTTTTGTTCTTTTTTTTCCTCCCTGCTCCATGGTGCTGGAGATTAAATCCAGGGTCTCTTGCATACTAGGCAAATCCTCTACTGCTGAACTATACCCTCAGCCCCAATTTCATCTTTTAAAGAGAATGTCAAAGGATCTGTGGATATATTTTCAACTATCACAGTGGCAGAGCCAGGCATCCACCCCAGGCCTCCAAACCCATTCCACTTATGATTCAGAGATGCACGCTCCCTGGACTGGCCTTGTGCTCTCACACTCTGACCTGCCCTGGAGTCCTCCACAGCCCACGGCCTGCCCAAGGAGCTCTAGACCTGTGCTCTCTGCTGCTAGCCTCTCAGGCTAAGAGGGCAAAGTGAAAGTTCAGATTCTCATGTGGGCTTAATCAGGAAGGCCGCATAGAGACAAACTACCTCTCCAGTTGCCTGGCTGACAAAACATAAGTTCTTGGCCCTCTGTGGCCAAATCCCCACAGAGCCCCTCATTTGGCATCTATATGCCCTCTACATCTTGAGGTTTTCATATCAGAACTGTTGCTTACTGGAGATGTCACCCTTGCTGGGAACTCCCCTTGGCAACACAACCGAAGAGGTGAACACCGCGGTGCCTAGTGCCCACCATGCCTGTTAGCAGCCACGTTTTATGACTATCCTCAGGAAACTCACACCACCTTTGTGTAACTTGGGCTTTTTGAGGCTTTGATACAAGATCTGGCTCCTCTGACTCCAGCAGTGGATGGCAGCATAATAAATGTGAGCATTGTGGCACTGAGACTCAGAACTCCCGAAGAGACTGCAGCAAAGACCCTCTGGAAGGTGAGATTGACTTGCAGCCTCCAAAAGGCATAAGTAGGGGCAGCTATTGCTCCAAGACCATGAACTGTATGTTTAATCTTTTTTTTTTTAATTTTAGCATTTCATTATAGATACAATACCCCAGGACAGTATTACTTAAATCACAGCAGAAGAGATGCCTTTGTCCAGTCCTGCTCTTTAGATGAAAATAAAAATTCTGCACCTTGTAAGTACACCTTCTGCATGATGCCATCTGAGATCCCTTCTCCCAGTGTGGGAAACCCACAGATCACTGGCCACGGCTTCCTCTTGGAGAGTCCTGCAGTCTCCAGTCTATGGCTTGGGTCTCCTGCACTTACCAGACACCTCCAAATTCAGCCCTGCACCTGGGTGGCAAGAGGCTAAGCAGTGGCTGGGAAATATGAAAACCCAGGGTTAAAGGACTTGAATGTGCTTTAAATGCAAGTCAGTAACACATCATAAATGCTAGCTGGACAAGTGACTGAGTAATTGCCACTATTATTGTTATTTTTCACAATGGCCAAAACTTTAAATTTCTCCCTCCCAAGTTAGCATATAGAGAAATACTCCTTAGATACCATATTGCTAATTCTCAGTATAAAATCCAGCTATCTTTGAAAAAAATTAACATCTCACAAACATTTTATAAAGGTGCCTAAGACATGGCTCCTCCCTCCAAGAGCTTCCAACTGAGTGGGAAGGGGCTTATACTCAATTCAGGGAAGTTCAAGGCAAAATGTGAGTACTAAAAGCAAGGTCAAAGTGTGCTATGGAAGCTGGGCGTGGTGGCACACGCATGTAATCCCAGCACTCGGGAGGCTGAGGCAGGAGGATCGCTGTGAGTTCAAGACCAGCCTGGGCTACATAGTGAGTTCCAGGTCAGTCTCAACTATATAGTGAGATCCTGTTGCAAACAAACAAACAAACAAACAAACAAAGTGTGCTATGGATCATAAAGGAAGGATACACAGTACTTCGTGTTCCACCCCTGAATGACAGTCATACCTAGTTCTCTGACAGGGGTCACATCTTTCTTTCATTCCTACAGAACTCTTTCCCTCTGGGGATAGGGTTACCAGGGAGAATGTTTCTTATCTTTCACAGTTGCCAAGGCCCAAGACTAAAGAATGTTATTTACCTGAGTGATCTCAGTTGTGCCTCTCCTGTCTTCCTGCAGCTGAAAAATCTACCAATTGTCAAAAAGTAACAGTCACTCAGACTGCACAAGCCACGGGGAAACTTTCTTTACTACCTCCTCAGTCTTTGGACCCATTATTCCAATGCGCGTACGAGGAATATAACTAAGTCATTGAAATGTGAACTCTCTTAGAAAAATGTATAGTGGCTAAGAGGGAGGAAGCTCTTCATCAGTGTTGATAAGGAACCTTCCAGCAATTGAAGCTGACAGAAAACGGAGTGTGCTGTTGGCAGGAGGCTGTGAGCACTGTCTGGGGAGCAGTGTGCTTTGATGTTATAGATCTGTAGACTGACCTAGAACTGGGCCCAATGGCCTTGTGTCTCTTTTGGAGCTTCTGAAGTTACATTTGGAGACTACCAAAGAATTAAGATTGAGCTTGTTTGTGCTTCTGCTCCTCATGGCTCAAGGCTAGGTGCTCAGCATGACTAAATTTGGACTTTTTGCCTTCCAACCTTGCCTTCCACGTCTAAGGAAAAATCTCTCCAGCTTCCCTTGTCTGACAGGACGTCTAGAGGGAAGTGAAGCCTGGCTATCAGACACAAGTAAGACAGTAGACCTGGAGGGAGAAAGAGAAGACAGAGAAGACAGGGGGATGAGGAAACAGGAAGTAGAGAAGAGGCCCTTGCAATAAGAAGGCAGATTTCCTGACCACTGACTTGTCTCTCTTCCTTTTCCTGGCTTGTCTCCTGTGATGATTTTCTTATGGTTTTCTTCTGTTGAATCTGTATTTTCTGGAATCGCCTTAGGAACACAGTTGTTAATTTCTGACTCTTAGAATCTTCACTCCTAAAGTTGGAGAGGATTTCAGGAACCTATATCCAACCTTTGGAAGTTTTCTGTCCATTTATATCAGATGAGGTCGTTGACCCCACAGAAGTTGGACATAATGCCAACAGCGAGCACTCAAGAATCTAAACTCATAGCTTTTCTGTTAATGAAACTGTTTAAATTGAATTTTTTTCCTGTATTCAGAATACTTGATAGAAAATTCCTGGTTTTCTGTTACCTGTCTTACACAATTTTAGAAAATAATTAATTCATACCAAAAAGGAAACGATATGTAAACACCATCTAGGGATCATTTTTAGTGCTCTGAATTTAATTACAGTAATTTTGGTGTTCTGAATTTAATTATAGCAAACATTTTTCAGCTTGTTCAAAACCAAAACAGCTATGTTCCCAGAAAGTGAATTCAATATCCTTTCAAGATGAATGTGAACCTACACTAGGAGAGTAAGTATTCATTTATTACTAGTAGTAAAAACACATCAGTTATTGTTGGTCAAGAATAATGTGGTTATTTGTGCATTACTGACCCAAGATCACCTAGATCATAAGTAGTAGAACCATGATTTTAACCAAGCCCTTTCTAATATTTCAATTATTCACTTATTAATTCAACAAACATCTGAGTGTCAAATGTAGGATATTGTACTAAGTAATGAGGATCCAATGACAAAGTCAACCACTCTCTCTGCCCTCGTGGAGCTTGCTTATTTTTGGAATGGGGATTGAACTCTTGCACTTGTGTGGCAGGTGGCGGAACCATTGAGCCAAATACCCAGCCCTGAGCTTGCTTTTTTGATAGAAGAGCAAGGAAAACTTTGAAAGTGTCAAGAAGGGAAAATATAGAGTGCTAGTGACCTAATTTGGAGGTTCACAGAAGCTGGGCTCCAAAGCATAAGTATGAATGAATGAGAGAGGAGATGTGAGACTAGGAGTAAAGGACATCAAGTCTAAGAAACTTCCTGAAGGGGGAAGGCCAGAATGGAGTGGCTGGAGCCCATAGGAGGGAGGGCAGAGGATGAAATGGGTGAGGTAAGACAGATGGGCAAGGCCAGCTGTACAGGGGCTTGTCAACTATGAGAAGGACTTCAGAGTCTTGGGAATAATGCGAAGCCAAGAAATTTTAGTATCAGGGAGTTTTGTAGTTTTGAAAGATCACTCTAGCTATTGAGGAATAGGAAATGGATTAGAGAAGCCAAAGCAGGAGCTCAGCGTAGCAGGGCAGATAAACAGCTCAGGCTCTACAATCAGACACACTTAGCCTGGGTCCACCACGCACTACCAGAGGACGGTGTAGTGTTTAAAAATGGGACCTTTGTAGACTTCTTGGGTTTGCGTCTTTGGTTCTATGTTCCTGGGCATGTTACCTGACTTCTCTGTGCCTTAATTTACTCCTATGTCAAATGGGAGTAAAACATTTCCAAATTGATTGAGAACCGAGTCAATAAGTGAAAGTACTGAGAATGGAACTTGGCTCATAGCAATGGTGGGCAAGTCGTGGCCGTTCTCAACACTGTTGAAAGTGGTGACTGACTGGATACTGGGAGACAGAAGAGTTGAAGCCCTTGCTCTTCTCACAGGACCACACTACCACACCTTGCCAAATTTTTCATTACGTAGGGTGCTTAATGCAGAATCGTCTCTCGCTTTGAGGACAGATCCAACGTGCTAAACTGCAGAACTAATTAATATTAGTGTAGCAGAGGCAGAAGGCTTAAGGGAGGCTCTGAAGTCACAGTATTGGAGGTGAGGTTTTGTGAAGATGACACTGCTCGCAAGTGTATGTACCAAAATAATGTTAGCGAGGAATGAAGTGACAGTAGCTGCGTGACAGACCTGCAGACAGGCAAGTACTCGTGGCAGCCCTCAGGACTACTACTCAGGGTTGTGAAAAGCGTAACTCCCAGGAATACCCTTCGCAGAGACTATGTGACTAGATCCCTACAGCTATGCGGTGTATGACCTGGACAACTCAGTGGCCTTGGCGACTCTCCCCACACCAAGACAGTCATAGTTAAGTAAGCAGGGAGGCTTCTTACTTAAAGGAGCTTCTATTTTCCCACTGATTCGGCCTTTTTGCTGTGTAAGGTCACTGGTCCTAGAATGAGCTCAACCTGATCCCTACAACTGGTGTTTTTTAAAATGTACATTTGTTTTATAAATAATGCAAAATAGTGTGTTGGCCCCCACATAATGAAAAATAAGTAAAAAGTTGTTGTTGGGAGTCTTGCCTTTTCTGTTGCTAAGTAAAAGTCCCATTCTGGAAAGACATGTGACAACCTTGTTTTGAAGCTCAGCCCCATAGACCTATGAGCTATGAAAAGATTGTGTGTGCTTGAGTCCTGACACCTGACCCCACACAGACAGCCACAAGAGCTGAGCTGAACAGGAGGGTGTGCTTTACACAAGGACCAATGTGCTTTTGCTTTCCAGAAGAAATCTAAAGACTTTTATGACCTTCAGTGCAGATCCTGCAATCCTCCCTCCCCATTTCCAGTCCTGCAAGATTTCTGGAAGCAAATCCTTGTGTGACTTCAATAGCATCGAAAAAACAGAATCTAAGGTGAGGTCTTAGAAAAAAAACTTATAGATCCTTGCAGCTTATATGTTTGGTTTTAAGGACCACAGGACTGCTAGCCTTTAAGTCCTTAAAGTTTGGAGTTAAGAAAATGTTCTGATGAAAACAATTTGCACTCAGCATTAACATTAAGCCTTAGTGGCCACATGGTTTGTATTATTCATAAATTGGTTTCAAAAGAAATGGCCTGGAGAAAGTGTTCTGTGGGTGGTGCCTCAGCTGCAGGATTTCCCCCGCCTGGGCTTAGAGGCCTGGTTTCTATTCCAGTGCCTGTGGTTAGTGCTGCCAGCGGTTTCCTATTTCAAACCACTAAAGCAGATCCCCAGGTCACTTTCAAATGTTTACACACCCACACCCACACACGCCTATGGTCCCCAAACCCCCTTCAGTGCACCCAAAGAGCCTTTTCTTTTTCTGCAGTAGGCAAACATCCCAGTGGGTTGCTGACCTCACCCTCTGATTCATGCTCATCAATCATGTACTGATCTTTTTTTCCCTCCCTTTCCCTAACACATATATTCCATCTCAGACTGGTTTCCTAGGAAACCAATCCTCACAAACAGAAATAAACTGTGGAAAACAGAATGCTCCAAAAATCCCATCTTGTAATGTTTAATAATGCGAGGAAACCAATGATCAGAAACATTAGTAAGTTTGTGTAACTAAAGTATGTGGACTTTTCCTCTGTAGATTTTAAACTCGGCCTTGGATCGTGCCCTAAAGACAGCAACCATTTTGAAAAAAACTACTGATCAGATGATTAAAGTGATCACAGAAGACCTTGCCAAAGCACAGAGATGGAGGAATCAACTGAAATACTAGTTTGACCTAAGGCAACCAAGCTTGTGGAAGGAAAAAACCATGTGAAGAGAACTTGATCATCACTCTCCCCAAAAGTACCTTGCTTGTTACGCAATTTAGAAAGATGTCTTTTCAGAGAAAAATACTAAAACCAAAAGAGGGCAACACAAAGTGTTTAAATGGAAAAAAGAAAAAAGAAAAAAAAAAGGGGGATTTCTGATTCTTAAACCAAAAGAAACCAAACCAGAACAATAAAGTTTACTTTTAACCTATTTCTCTGGAAAAAATTAAAGAAAGAACTATTCTCATATATTACTGGTAAAGTATAAACCAATGGAACCTTTTTGGAAGAACATTTGTTAACACAGATGTTCCTTGGCTTATGAGATTTATATCCCAGTGAACCCACAGTGAGTCGAAAATACCATGTCAAAAATTCACTTAGTAAACCTAACCTGCTCCACATCATTACTCAGCAAAACACTGACAAGTGTCCATTGTTTCCTGTGTGACTTCGTGGCTGTGGGAGCTGTGGGTGGCTGCCAGTACCCAGCATCAGAAAGAGTATTATCCTCTGACTAGCAGTTCCACCACTAGGAATTTACAGATGACTCAGATCCCCACTACATGTAGACGGGTCACCGCATCACTGACAGTGATACCCTCAAGGGGAACTAATCTTACACACCCAGTATAATGATTAATAAATAATAATACTCTGCAACCAGCAGTATGAGGCAGATGATCTAGAAGACAGTGAAAAAAAAAAAAAGATACCTAACCATATACCCAGTGTGGCCTAACTTGTGTATATTTTATTATAGGGCATATATATGTCCTGAAAACATACACAGAAATCTTGAGACCTCTAGGAAATAAAACGGAGTGTAGAGAGAGGATGAATTTCAATTATTCCCTTATATACTGTATGACATTCTTATAATATGATTAAATTATAAAATTATATTTAAAGATCTCTTGAACTCATGTAAAAATAATAGTCCTAGATTAAGGACATTTTAGAAAAAGAATTCATTAAAACTAGGTATCAGAATTAAGTCTGTAACGTTCTCCATAGAATGCCACAGCAGGCTTTTGACTTAGTCTTTTAAAAATGATATATTACCTCCTTAATGACAGCAGCAGATGACTGGTCCTGTCCCCCGACCAGGCCTCCTAACTCCGTGCAGTCCAGATGCTCTCAACAAAAGGTTTCCCAACCCCCAGAGTTTGGCTCTGCAAGTGAGGAGGGAGCTGAATGTATTCCCATTTTAGATTTTTGTGCCAACCAAGGCAGCTGCTATTTGTCTAGCTGGCTAGAGAATGGGCTATTTTTAACTTTGGGCTTTGAAACTGGTTTATTAGAGTGTGTGAGAAGAGATAATGCAGAGGTCAGCTGGGAGATAACTCTGACTTTGTGGCTAAATTTACATTAGTCTGTGGCACTGTAAAGAAGACAGCAAAGGCAATGCTCTAAGAGAAAAGGGAGCTTAAACTGTATATGTTCTGTTACATAAATTTGTGGAAGGTAATTTGGGGGGGTAAGAACTCAGAACCTTGCACTTGCAAGGCAGGCAGCTGCACCACTGAGCTAAATCTCTGGCCTGGAAGGTCATTTTTGTACTGAGCTCCTGCACTATACTTCAAGAGACCAAATCAAACCAGAATGAAGTCACTCATGCTAAGTGCTATGGAGTCAAACCTTTATAGAAACTTGCAAGTGTAATCACTTTTTAAATTTAAAAACACGGTCCATCTCTGCTTTATTAAACCATATTCTAAATGTAATTTTATATTTCCATGATGACTGGAAATCATTATGAGCAATCAGTGCAAGGGATTAAACTAAGAAATGAAACAGGACCAGGCCTTTAAGGAGTTCTGGAAGAGTGCCAGACTCTGATTTAAGAGGATAATTTCACTTACTGATTCTGTAGTGTTTGCTGTCTCCTCCCTCACACATGTGTCAATTCCTGTAAACCTTTCTTCTAGGTTCCGACAGGTAATAAACCAGAAAAACCAGCTTGTTAAGTAAAATTGTATCCATGATGCTGTGAGTCAAGGGGCTCGGCACCACCTGAGGGCAGCGGTGGTGCAAACGAACATCTGGCAGCCTGCACAGAGCTTTGTTGGAAGTTGCCAGAAGCAGCAGCAGGGAACAAGATGGTTGGAAGAGGCCTTTTTACCTCTTTTTTTAGGAGAAAGTTCTAGCCATCCACTTTAGTGAACTATCAGGTTATACAAAAGAAAACATCTTTTTATCATTTTTTATATTGTAATTTTATTAATGAATTATTAATAGATCGAATTCATACTAAATATAAATACTTTTTACATTTAATATTCAAAACAATTGTTTTGGTAGTCATTTTACTGTGTACAGGAGGAAGATAAGTTTTATTTTTTTGATCTAAGAAGAAATCTGTTAAGAGTATAAAATACGGAGACATCACATCTTAATGCCAACGAACCACCAGAATCTAGGCCTCTGGAGCTCAAATCTAAGAATTTTGTGTTGCTGTGAACTGTTGTGAGTCAGGGTCAGCAGAAGACAAGGGCCTAGGAACAGGATTAATAAAGGTATTTTTCTTAGTTTTTGCTATACTGCATGGTTAAACATTGAGAATCTGTTGCATTTGTTAGCCAAATTTCAACAGGAAGCAAAATCATACTTAAGGGAAAGGGAATAAATTATTTCAGTTAGTTGTAGCAACAAAACCACCTTGAACAAGGTCTTGATATCAGAACCTGTCACTGCTAATATTTCTGTTTTTGTTTTTTGTACCAGGAATTGAACGCGGGACTTTGTGCTTGTGAGGCAGGTGGCAGAACCACTGAGCTAAATCCCCAGCCCACTGCTAATATTTCTATCTTGAAATTCACTAGACATTTACTAAACAAAATTTCTCATATATATGTATATATATTTATTTAGATGCACACATGAGAAAGGACTCAAAAGCTATGATGTTAGTGTGACAAGGCAAAGTGGTCACTGAGAGTTAAGTGACGGAATGGACTGGCCAGTGTTTGTGGTCACCAAGCTCTAGTACCATTTGTCACAGGTCACTGGATTAGTTTAGAAACCCACACATGTCCTCAACTGGGCACAGTATCCGAGGCACTCAAGGAGTTCAGATAAAAATGAAGACATCAACAGTCAATTCTCAGTGGAGATGTGCTATTCTAAAGAAAGATTCTGAAAGATTTAGACAAAAAAGACATTCCATATTCCTGAACATCAAGTTTCAATATTATAAAGATGTCATCTTTTCCAGTGCTGTAGCTAGAGTTTGTGCCGCTCAGGGCAGACCTTCAATTTGCTGCCCTCCAAACTATCTGAATATGTTAACCTACCTAAATAGAAAATTTAAATGACCCATGGAGAAAAATATTCGTATTATGATTACTTGAATCTTTGCTGCAATGCTGCCCCCCAAGATGTGCTGCCAGGGAGGACCACCCCCTCCGTTCCTGCCTCCCCTCACCAGCTGTGCCACTGATTTTTCTCCCCTAAATTAAACTAAAAATTTAATGAGGATATCAAAATAACCTTTTACGGGAACACACAGAATGATACTAACATTCATCTACAAAAATCTAATAGCTGGGAAGTTTTGGAAAAATGTTAGTAATTTAGGTTTGGGTGAGGTAAGGATTATTTTCATTACATACCAAAACATACCACAAATTAAAATAGATAAGAAAAAAATACAAATTGATCAATAAAATAAGATCTAGAAATAGACTCATAGAATACAAATGGAAATTTAGTCTATGAAAAGAGTAATATTTCAGATGAGCCAGGGAAACAGAGATTACCCAATAAAACTGGTACAATAACTGGCTGTTCGGAAAAGAATAAAGTGAGATCACACATTCTACAGCAGTCAGGGTTTTATTCAAGAAATAAACTCCTCTAGATATTTCGAGTAAGAAAGGGCTTTAATATGATTAGGTCCTTACAAAACCTCTGAGAAATTCAAACATCAGACACTGAGAACCAAGGGCGTATCCACCAGTGATCCAGAGGACAGAACCGAGGGCTGCCATTGCCACGGCGCTGCCTCAGACCCAGAATGCCATGGACAGGTCACTAAAACTCGAGTCCAGCTGCTACACATAACTCCTGTCTGCACTGGCACAGCCTCAGAAGATGGCCTCTGCCTCCTTTTTATTTTCCAGATCTTGACCAAATGCTTAATACTGACAGAATCTAAGCTGGTTAGAACCCTAATTAGAGTCTCCAAAACTTTACTCTTTGCTTTTTAATCCTGTGGTATGAGGTGGAGAGGCATGGGATAAATATATGCCAAGTGCTAAGAGACAATATCTAACGTTAAAAGTAATTCCACATGAGTGAAAGTCACTTGTGAAAAACCGAATCTATCCAAACATTTTACAAGAAATCAAAGGTGAATTTATAATTATAGCACAAAGAGGTATTTCTAAATGTAGTATGAAATTCTAAAGCCAAAAAGGAAAAGTGATGCATATATCTATACTGAAGAAGTAGATATAAGGGTGTAGCTCAGTGGTATAGTGCTTGCTTAGTACGAGTGAAGCCCCGGGTTCAATCCCCAGCACTAATAAAATAATAGTAATATATGTTAATATTTTAAACACAAATCCTATGACGAGCTATGTCATTGCTAGGCTTTATATTACAGAAATATTTGTGCAAGTCTACAGAAGTGTGTACCAAAGTAATACAGAATTATTTGGCAGAATAAAACTCTGAATATGTATGACATAAAATTATGGTCCACCAAATGACAGAACACTATGAGGTCAAGTAAAGATTTGAAGGGAAGGTGTTACCTTTGTATAACAAAAATTCATGTGCAGATATAGCCTTAAATGATCTAACTTTATACAGATTAATCACACTGTTCTTGAAAAAGTCATTAGGAGTTATCTTGGTGGGAACTATGGTACCTTCTGTTTCTTTGTAATCTGACTTAGAACTTTTAAACTTCTCGACCCCCTCATTTTTTTCAACTTTTTCCTCTTACCCAGAAAAAAACCCATATAATTTCTGTAACTATATTTTTATTTTCTCTAAGAATGTTCAAGATTTTTGGTTTTGTAACTTAAACATACATCATTTCAAAATTACACAGAACTGTATTCTTTAGGAGCACCTAGCAAGCTAGAGTACACTATGAAATCACTCTATTAATGATTGAATTATTTTACACTTTAAAGAAAACATGAATTTCAGCTGACAAAAAAACTGTACTTATAGGAAATTCTATCATACATACACATTTACAGTTTTCTTAATAAGCTCTTCATTTAAAATCATTCTTTACCCAAAACTATACTTCACCATGAGACAGGTAAGTATCTAACAAGTGATCAGTATGTACACAGGTGGCTGTGAAAGATTACCCATAATTCTAACATATTTTGCTCCAAAGGCAAAGGATTTTTGTTTAGAAAGCAGCATCAATATTTAAATTATTAAAATGGCAAATTCAATAATACATAATCGTAAACAGTCCTCTAAAAAATGTATTTGAAAAGCCATTATTGCATAAAATATTTACATTGTTTAAATTACATAATAGCACAATTTTCTTGCTCTATTTTAGTTGAACGTATTAATAAAAAACCTCTAAAAAAGCTACTCATCCTTAATAAAGGAGACTTTATCCTTGGGTTTATTCAGCATCTTTATATCATCCAACAGCTTTCTGGGTGTTAAAATATGTGTAGAACCTATTAGAAGAAAAGATAACTTTTCAGAGCCCAGAAGTTAAACCAGTTTTCCCTGGCTTAATATACTGTCATGTCCTTCAAATAAGCAAAGTGCAGTAGCCTGCAGCATTTTAACAAGATCTCTAATGACATTTTCCTGAAATCTGCCTGTGCTACAGTATTTCACCTCCTTTATCAGTGAGCATGTTCAGTAATCCTTCAGAAACACTACCCGTCCCTAGTGTTTTTTCTACTTTGTGCTCTATATTAATTAGTATACTAAAAGCAGAACTGGAAAGTTTTTTTCCTCATTTGCCATGGTGTGTCAGTTAGTAACAGAACTTCTAAACTGTGCTGCAGATAGGGACTTGACATACAAATCCTGTACTTCCCTGGGTCAGAAGAGTTTATCTCTCAGGGGCACTGACTGACTTTTTTTTTTTTTTTTTTTTTT